TCCTGTGCAACTGACATGAGTCTGCTCTTTTTGCTCATAGCTGTTTTCTCTTATTACTTTTGTGCTATTCTCCCTCTTGTCATGTGCCTAGGTTTAGTCTTTCTTCATTTCTTTTCCAAAAAGTATAATTCCACCTTTCTCGTGAAAAGAACACGGTGCAGTTAATAAAAAAAAAAAAGACCGACTAGTCTCAGCCCTAATATGAACTGCTTACGTATTGTACAGTGAAAAGAACACTGTTTTGGAGTCAGAAGCCAAGAGCTCAAATCATACCTCAGAGAACTCAGAGGACTTGGGTTCAAATGCCACCTCTGCCACTCACAACCTTTGTGACCTTGGGCAAAATGCAAAACGAAGAGTTTGAAATGTAAAATAAAAGAACAAAAAACAAGCAAGTAAATTACTTAATTTTAATGACCAAGATTCCCCTAAAGAAAAGATGAGAAAAGTACCCCTTTCCTTTCCTCTTCCTTCATTAGAGAGGACCATAGGACACCATGGGTTTAGAACACTGCCAAACTCAGTTTGCACGTTGTACTGCTTGGTTGCTTTTGATTAGTTTGCTGAGCTGTTTTTTTTCTCTCTTCTCTTTCTTTTTTTATTCCTTCATTCGTTTATTGGCTTTTTGTTTATTTGTTGCTATTGCAAAATATGGTTCATTGAGTAGCAAAAGTAGGTTAGGATAGAGTTATATGCAGAACTGAAGATGTTAACAAAGTTAAAGATATCAATAAAAATATTTTAAATGACAAGGTTGAACTACATGACCTCTAAGGTCCTTTGCATCTCAATGTCTATGATCTTATGACAGCCATTCTTCCTTGTCTCTCACCACATTTCTCATATTGCTGCCTTTTCTTTTGTTTTAGTTGATTGACTCCTTGTCTCTGGGATATCTCCTGGCTCTGCTTGGTTAATTATTAGCTTCTACCTATAGCACCTGAACATCCTCAGGGGGAAAAATGGTCTGTGAGAAGACCTGTCTGAGGCCTTTATGCTTAGAGCATGGAAACAATAATTAGGAAAATCATAACCCCCCCATCTATGAGATATGGTATCTAGGTATCTGTGAAGCAACAAGTTATTCAGTGCTTTTAGTGCAAGCAAGGAAGGGGAATTCAACCATAAATTAATTCTTACTAAACACAGTGAGGTAGGTAGTATGATACTTAATTTATGGTTGGGCCACCCATATTCTAGCAAAGATAATCAACTCACATAATCCCTGTGGTATAAGTCTCACTAACTGGAAAACTATGTTGTGAAAATGAATGAATAGGTACATGTTTCTGGTGTATATGTTACTTAACCAAGGGACCCTCCAAAGTCCACTGGTGAAACAATTGAGCAAACTTGGTTGTGGGAGTTTGTGTGATTCTATTTAGCAAACATTGATTAAGTGTCTCTTACATGTGAAGGTTAGGTGGTGCAATGGATAGAACATTGTACTTAAAAATGGGAAGATTCATCTTCCTGATTTCAAATCAGGCCACAGACGCTTATTAACTGTGTGGTCCTGGGCAAGTCACTTAACCCTGTTTGCCTTAGTTTCCTCATCTGTAAAATGAGCTGGAGAAGGAAATGGCAAACCAGTATCTTTACCAAGAAAACCCCAAAATGACACAAGAGTCATACACGGCTGAGCAATAACAACATATAAAAAGCTGTGCTAGACCCTATTGGAAAAATAAAGACGAAGATTCCTTCAAGGAGTCTACAGTTTAGTTATGGGAGATGATATGTTATACACACATTGCCACAAGGACCATGAATGGTACGAAATAAAGCATCTAAGAATATAGAGCTGATGAAGAATTCTTTCTAGCCAACATGATTCAGAAATGGAAGGGGTGCTTTTGAACTTCATCTGGAGTCAATGTTGAGAAGTTGCAAAGCCAAGCTCTCAAACCAATAGAAATCAGCCTCTAAACCTGGGATCTAGCTTCAACTCTTTTGCATCTTTGAGACCAGACACTGAGGTCCTTTCTTGAACTATACTGTCAAGCATTCAAACTCTACTGCAGAGAGAAAAACTCTCTGGCCATGTTGGGCTGGCCACCGAAAGGACTATTTCATAGAGAACTCACACAAGGCAACCACTCACATGGCATTCAGAATAAGGTCAGAGACACTCTCAAGGTCTCTCTGAAGAACTTTGGAATTGAGTGACATGGGAGACACTGTCACAGGACTGCCCAGCATGGTGTGCCCACATCAAAGAAGGTGCTGTGTTCTGTGAGCAAAGCAGAACTGAAGTAGCTCAAAAGAAATGCGAGATGTGCAAATTTAGAGAATCTACCCCAAATATTCACATGGGCAATTTGCACCTGACCTATGGTAGAGCCTTCTGAGCTCACATTGGTCTGATCAGTCACAGTTGGACACATTGTAACTTGACTCTAACATGGTGATGTCATTTTGTTTCTCTTTGAGATTGAAGGACAACAACCATCTTTGGGAAGTGACCAGAAGCTGAAGGAAGTCTTAATATCACAGAGTTAGAGGTAGGAGAGAACGTGGAGGCCATCTGGCCCAACTCCCCTATTTTCTAGATGGGGAAGTTCAGGCATGCCAAGGTTATGTGATTTCTTATGGTCACCCAGCAAGCAAGCATTAGAAGCAGGATCTGACCTCCTACTTCCAGGACTTGTTCTCTCTTCACTATATACTACGTTGTCTCTCTAGCTTGATGGATAGCTACTGTGGTAACTGAGGTAACTGAGAACTGATTTATCTGAAAACTGCAGCTGGAAAAATATGATAGAGTGAGCATCACTTGCTTCGGCACTGGGGTCTCTCTGGAGCCTCCTTCGGGAAGGGTGTGAGTGGGCATAAAAGTACTGTTTATAAGGAAAGAATTACTTATTTGTGAGTGAGAAGCTGATCTCAAGCTTAGAAAAATTCTGACTTATATAATACAAAAGTAAAAAATCAAATTTTAAAAGTGTGAGAGCAGAAGGGACAATAAGAGCACAAGAAATGCTATACAAGTTTGAGTCAAGGATCCATGTAACTCAAAGTCTCTCACAGTGATGAGGGATATGTTGTGTTTTACTTATGTCAAATTCAAAGATTTAGAGGTTTCTACCTATTAACCTTATCTCTACAAAATCTCCAGTGTTCCCCTTTGAATCTAATCTTCCACTAATTCCATGAATCTAATCAAATGAGATAATATATGCAAAGCCTAAGACACATTCTAACTATGGGACCCTGACTAAGAGACTCAATGTCTTTTTGCTTCAGTTTTCAAATGTGTAAAATGGGGACAATAATAACACCTACCACCCAGGGTTGTTGTGAGGATGAAATGGAATAATATTTATAAAGTACTTTGTAAGCCTTGAAGCATTATATAAATGCTAGCTAGCATCTTCAAAGTACTTGACAAAATCAATAGTGCTTATAAGTGCTTTGCAAACTTTAGTGTATTATCATTAACTCTTCTCTAACCTACTGATATTTTCAGCCTAGAAATAAGCAACTCCATACTAACAGCTCTCTATGTTGAATAAAAGTATATATTTATCTAGTCCCATAGAATTATAGTGGACAGAGGACTGGCCCTCAGTAAAATGCTGAAAGAAGTAAATCTTTTACTCCCTCTCTGTTCTGTTCCTTGGCTCCTGTCTTCATCCCTTCTCTCTTCTTCTTTTTTTTTTTTGTTTCTTTTGGTGAGGCAATCAGGGTTAAGTGACTTGTCCAGGATCACATAGCTAGTAAGTTTCAAGTATTTGAGGCCAGATTTGAGCCCAGGTCCTCCTGACTCCAAGGCTGGAGCTCAATCCACTGCGCCACCTAGATGCCCACCCCCTCTTCTAAGCTTCACCCTGAGCTCTTTGCTCCTTGTCAAATAATTTCTGTCTTAGGCTATCACTGTCACACACACTCCCAAGCACTCTCTGAATTTTTACAAGAAAATCAAAAGCTTCAGAGCTTAAAGCAATGGACCTTTTTGAGTTCAATGTGGCACAAGGAGAGAGCGCTATGTCAAATTCCAACCATTACTGCCTGTGTGATCTTTGGAAAGTGGTTCAACATCTCTGGGCATCAGGTTCCTCATCTCTAAAATAAGGGGGTTGGACTGGGAGGCCTTTCGGGAATACATCTGTGATCTCCAATAAAATGTGAGCTCTTTGAGGGAAGGGACTCTGATCTTGTGGGGGCATTTCAGAGAGGCAGTAGAAGAGGTATTCTGGGAAGGGGTCATCAACTTTGCCTACTCAAATGAAAATCCCGGCTACTCACCATAAGAGTGCCAGTGCTAAGAGGAATCCAACCCCATTTAGAGCAATTGCCTCATTTTACAGATAAGGAAACTGAGGCCAAGAAAAGTAAAAATACTTGTCCAAGGTCAAGTGGTAGTAAGTGGCAGGTTGAGGAACTGGAACTCAGGTTTGTCGACTCCCCTCTCCCTGTTTGTAAGAATGGCCTTGGATGGAACCCTTGGAGCAATCATCACTAACAGGAATGAGACTTGTCATAATATTCCTATCCCTAATCTCTCTCAGTAAGATTTGATGCAGTAAAAAGGATCACTTCTACCCTATTCATCCTGAGATTCTCCTTCTGATACTAACAACTTTGCATCATGCTGAGGTCTTCAAATAAATGACAAATGATTGGTATTGTTGTTTGAAAGACCTTGTTCCTTAAAACTACTGTCCCATTTGGGGATGTCTGGCTGTTCCATTTGGTGTAGGACTCATCTATACCAGAGGACAGCCACTATGCAAGGGGATGGCATGAGGGAGCCCATCAGGTGGTGAGGATGTGAAGTTAGGCAATTTAGTCAACTCTCAGGTCCACGGGCTATTTCCTTGCTCCTAAGGGTGGAGCTGAGGTGAACATGGATGCTCGTGATGCATTAAGTTGGAGCCACTTCAAGGTTTTGTACTTGAATCATGAGCCAATGACAAATGGGGCACAATAGATTCATGGGGAAGAAATTCACAGAAACATCTTACTCAGGACAAAGACATTGAAAAGAAGCAACTCTATTCCTTGTTGATACAGCAACTACTTTATTATTTTCAAATGCAAACTTTTGCATTGAGTTTGCTATTTTACAATTTTACAAACTAGGTATAAAAGACCATAAATAAATGACATAAGTTATGTGTACCTAAAGTCCAAATAGGGGAAAAAAATGACAAATTAAAACAAAATAGAAAATCTATGTCTAACTCAGAGATCACTCAAACTTATGGACATTTATGAACCAAGCAATGGTCTGTTAAAAAAATTTAGCATGAACTAAATTATAATATGCCTTATACATTCTAATGTTAACCACAGTCCTTGCATATTCCAATATACTTGCAGTGATACAAAAAAATAAATGCACTCTTTAGTTTGTGTCAATGTTTGTTCTTGGCAGGAGAATGTTAAATGAAAATATTGCTTTCAAAAGTCTCATTTCCTGGTGAGAATTTTTTTTGTCTTCAAACATATACATGGATATAAATGTGTATGCATTCATACACATCTTCATCATTAACTGAATACAGCAAGAGATCTCAAAGTATATTTACCAGCAGTGTCAAGAGCACAACCTTCCCCTAGCCCACCTCCCTCCCTTGACTTCCAACATCCTGGAGTCCGGTTGGTAGTGTGTCCCATTGATTACCTCCTTCAATAACAAGGGGTCGGCAGACAAATACTGGCATCACTTAATTTGGTCTGGGGTGAGGAGAGAGATGAATTAAAGCTGTCTTGTTCACAATTTGATGGTAATTTGCTATCTGAGCACGCTGTATTTGTGTGACAGTACTCAGGTCACAACTGATTTGACTCAATTAAAAAGAAGACATTTATTAAGTGCCTACTATGTGTAAAGCACTGTGCTAGGTTCTAGGGAAGATACTAAGTGGAGCAAAAACAGGGTAACTCATCCTGTTCTCTGCTTCTAGCACAGTAGACCTCTTTGGCCAATTATCTAACCCCCTCATTTTAGAGATCAGGAAATAAGATTATATTTGAGAGAGAGAGAGTCTGCTCAGAGCATCCTATGGTTTATACTATTATTCCCAAGTATCTATTTATAGGCACTTCCCTTTAAAAAAAAATAAGGGCCTAAGGAGGGGTAACATACTGGAAAATTAATTTTGACTCTGTAGTACAATTTCTAGAGTACACACCCTGTGTGAATGCAATCAAGGTTGATTGATGGTGGGCATAGGTTCAGCATTTTGCCTCTTGTTAGTGGAGTTTTTTTTTTATCCTGAAACATGATGTTATAGCAATCTTTGCGACAATCATGCATGTCAGTCCCTTAACTGAACCCATAGAATGGCAGTACATTGGCTGGAGTTTGGTATATGTTTCCCGTCCAAGAACGAGTAGCATTTGTCAACACTAAATCTTCACATTCTAGACCTTGGATTCTAGATGCTGGTGCCATTGTGAGGGCCACAGGAATTTACGATAGAATATTTCCTTTTACAAAAGTAACTTTCCATGAAAATTTGGAACTTGGAAGTGCTCGAAGCTACTTTCATGGACCTAAGAGTGTACCCTCAAGCATCACTAGCATGTGGTTTTTGTGATGTTGGGAGACAAGCTATTAATTACAGGACACAACCTTCTTAGCACCTGACACTGATGTCAGAGTGCATCTCTGACTGTATATAAGAATTGCATATATTTGTTCACATTTAACAAGTCCATTTATGCAGGAAAATAGGCTTTTGTTGTTTTACATTTCAGATAACCAGATACAGATCTCATCCCCTTCCCTCTTTCAATAAATGTGATTCTGAGAATGACTTGAATCAGAATTAGCAACATTGATGGCCACTCCATCACCTGAACAGACTTTTTTTTCCCCATCAATTGTTCCGTAACTAAGGTGAAAGTGCCTCCGTCTTAGGCTGCAGGATTATTGATTAAGGTTAGCGTGGCAGCTACAAAATACACTTAGAGATACAGGAAACTTAACACTTCTGTGTTTTCTTGCTCGTAGGAAAGACATAGTCTACAGACCTACTATCTCATACTCTGTCAGCTTGGATGCAGTGGAAAGCCAGCACCTTATGAGGGGCTTTCCAAAATATCCATAGGCAGTTCTAAGCATGAGATAATACATATACATACATGCCTGTACCACACTCATTCACGCGCACGCACACACACTCTCACTCACCCCTATGTACACACATCAAAAGAGATAGTCAGCTCATTATTTAGTCTAGAAAAAAAATATATTTATATCACTGCAATGGCACATCTCGTGTAAAATGTAACTTCAGCAATGCATATACTAGGCAGCTCCTATGAACTGGCTTTGTTCGGCGTGGCGGCACCTGACTCGGTGTCCATGTTAAGACCTGTAGTGTTGGGTCACTTGCCATCATCCAGATGCAGCAGAGACATACAGGAAAGAGCTATGGAAATGAGTATAAATAAAATCATAACAAGGAGAAAAAGAGGGACTCTTCAGGGCTAGAGCTTCAATATAGTACATTCCTCAAAGTGACAACTGGAGAGAATCGATGCTGAGCCTAGGAGGTTTGGTGGTGGTGTTGGTTGTGGTGATGGTGTCTTCTTCCAATGTTAAGAAAAAGGAAATCTGAAAGTCACATGCTTTTGCTTTTTAGGGACCAATGCTTTTTTTGTCCAGTGTCTCTGCCCCATCCCAAACTGGCGTGGAGGAAGCAGAAGGTCCGTGGAATTTGGAAGGATTCAAGTTCAGGTTTGGCTTCTTGAATTTCTTTTCCCCATGGTCAATGTGATCAATGGACAGGGCTGTGAGGCCAAAAAAAAAAAAAAAGAATCCACTTTCCCTACAAACAGAAGAGAAGACAGGAACATATTAGACAAATGTTTTGGCAAAGTTTAGAGGCAGACACATAACTAACTTCAAGCCTTCTCTACAGAAAGATCCAGACAGAAAACATGACTGGGGAGTCAGGCAGCAACCTCCAAAATGAGATGGGAAAAAGGTCTTCAAGTTCTAATCTTAGTTAGTCAAGTAATTTTGCTGAACCTTTCTACTTTGGCTTTCTCTTCTGATAAATAGGAATAAAAAGGCTTCACTACCTCAGAATCCAACTAGATTTTCTCTAGGGGCTTTTCCAATTTTAAAACCCTACGTTCCATTACTCTTTCTGGAAAAGTGTTAAGCACTTAATTGCAGAATGTGAAATAATCACATTAGATTTTCCTATTGTAAACTTCATGATGTCAGGGGCTGTATCTTATCTAAACATTATCTGTCTAAGCATGCAGAAAGGTGTTTATATATGGCAGGTGCTCAGTAAATTTTTGTTGCACAAAAAAATATAGTATAAAATCCCTAAGTGTCATATCCAGTTGATACCACCAATTACAAGTCAGAATTTATATATATTTGTATATATTGCATATATATTTACATGTATATATACATATGTGTGTGTATGTGTGTATTTTATATGTGTGTATTGATTCCCCAATAGATTGAAAATTCCTTGAGGGTAGTGACTAATTTTTTTTTTTACAGTATATGCCCTGCACTTAGAACCCACACCTAGGATGTACTAGATGCTAAAGAAATATTTTTGATTGATTGATGACAAAGTACCAAGAAACAAAAGATAATGTATTAGATAATAACAAGATGGCTTTTCAAATGAATTGTGTGACACATAGTAGATACAGAGAGAGATACAGACAGAGAGAGGGAAGTGGGGGAGAGACAGTGAAAGAGGTGAAGGAGAAAAAAGAGAGAAGGGGATAGGGTAGGGTGGGAGGAAGAGACAGAAGTAAGGGAGAGAAAGAGAGACAGAGAGGGGGAAGGAGGGAGAGAGAGAGAGAGAGAGAGGAGAGAGAGAGAGAGAGAGAGAGGAGAGAGAGAGAGGGAGGGAGGGAGGGAGAGTGAGAGTGAGAGTGTAGGATAACTGGCTTGCCCATCTGGGTGACTGGGAGGATGATCATATCATTGACAATAATTGAGAAGTTAGGAAGAAGGGAAGGTCTTGGGTTGGGGGGGAATAATATGTTCAAGACTTTGTTTAATTGAATTTTAAAATATGCTTGCTTGTACAAAAAGAGTAAATCCTTTTCTGCACTACACTATGTTAATGAACTTAATTTCACCCCTGTCTGGCATGTCTCAATAAAACACTCTGAATCACCAGTAAAAGATGGATGAATGATACTACAACTACCTTGGATTTATATAGCACCTTTCTTCTCAAGGGCTCAGGGTGTTTCACATAAGAATATTTCATATATCTTTACAACATCCCTGTGAATTAGCTAACGTATCATTACTAGGGTATCATTATCCTTAATTTTCAGGTGGAAAGACGGAGCTACAAAAAAGGCTATGTGACTTTCCCAGGGTCACACTCAGTGTATACAGGGATCTGCCTGATTCTCAGGCTTAGGCTGTGTTTTGTCACCTCCCTCCCATTGCTCACATTTCTATTTTTGCTATATATTTACTCTGATGCCTATAGCATGTCAGTGGGAAAGGTAAGCAAAAATACTGTAAATGTCCTTAGCCAGTAGTACTCAGATAATTTGCAAAGGATTTTTTTTTGTTGTTTCTGTTGTTAAAGTTGTTAGACTAAGAAGTCAGCATTGAAATAAAATCGTTATAAAAATGGCTTCAACCTTGACCTTCATTTAGTCACCTACACCTGCTTTAGAGATTATTACTGAGCATGAGAAAATTAACTAATGCCAGGGTTAACAACTGCAGAAGTTCTGAAGAACATTTTTGAATTACCAGAAGTTTCCTTGTATCCCCAGGTCTTAACACAATGCTTGGCAAATAGTAGATATTTCATAAGTACTTTACTTGACTCAAATATCATGCAGCATAGTGGATAGATCTCAAATCAGGAAGACCCGAGTTCAAATCCGACCTCAGACATTTACTGGCTGTGTGATCCTGGGCAAGTCACTTAACTTCTGTATGCCTCAGTTTCCTCATCTGTAAGATGGGGATAATAATAATACCTACCTCCCAGGGTTGTTAGGAGGATCAAATGAGATATCAAAATACTTTTGCAAACCTTAAAATTGTTGTATAAATGCTATTGTCATTATTATTATTATTGTTGTTGAAAATAGCACTGAACCTAGATTCATATCTCACCTACTAGCTGTGAGATCCTGGGCAAACCACTTAGTCTGTCCGTGCTTCATGTGGAAAATAAAGATAAAACCTAGTTCACAGGCTGTTGTGAGAATCAGCTGAGGTACCATATAATATAAATGTCAACTTAGCTAACATCAAAACAATTCTAAATTCTCCAGAATCTTCTGATATAAATCCTGGTGATTGATTTTTTTTTCCCCCTTTTGGCTTGGTTTCTGTCCCCTCCCCCCTTAAAAGATAACACCTTGTCTTTGGAACTTGTTTACAGAAGGAGAAAATAAAATTCTCTATAGGTTTCCTGAAGAGAGTGGGAGGTCTGGTGACTCCAAACAAGTCAAAAACCAATCTACATTTGTCATATCTTCCTATGAATATCTAGGTCTCCTAGGCTTCAGCTGAAGTAGCACTAAAACGTGAATCATTAGAATAGCTTTTTTTTTTAAGACAAATCTCAAATTCCTTCTGAACAGAAAAGATTTTACTACCAGTATTGCAAATGAGGTTTGCACCCAACTGCCATCATTTGACAGCATCAAATTTAACATCCCATGCACTAAAGAAGTGGCTTTCAGGTTAAAGCCTAGGGGGAAATGTTGTTAAAATCAGCCTGCCATTGTTTAGAGGTGACAGAAATGGCGTAGATAAAGAAGTTAGATTTTCCCAGTCCAAAAAAGAAAAAATAATCCAGGGTTTTGTTTTGGGGAATAAATGGAGGAGCTCTTTAAGCCAACAACTTGAAGAACAATTTTCTAAACTATAGCTGAGATGTGTGGAATGAAACCCTTCAACACTAGTCTTTAGGAATGAAAAGGGAAGAAGGGGACTATGTCAGTGAAATCTTCAGAATGGGGCAAGTCAAGACCGGTTGTCCCAGATCCCCTAGTTGGGGGCCCTCCCTGTCTGGTCCTGTTTAATGCTCTTAGCATTAGTAAATATGACGGTAAAGGAATACTAAAGAAAAAAGAAAAGAGGGCCTTGAAGTGTTTCTCCTTCAGTTAATCAGTCAATAAATATTTATGAAATACCTAGTATATGGCAGAGTCAGAGTCAATAAACATTCATTAAACACCTACCATGTGTCAGACACTGTGCTAAGTGCTAGAGATACAAAGAAAAGCAAAAGACATCCCCAGTCCTTGCTTTCAAGGAGCTCATGGTCTAAAAGGAGGGCTTTCTAAGACCTCCAGGTTCGATGGAAGGAAAGGGGAGGCTCCTGAGATTTCACTCCATCCAACTGGAGACCATTCCTTCTCTCTTTTGCTTGGTGTAGTTTGTAGGATCAGGAATGTAAGCTACTCTTCTCCATTTTTTCTTCCCAATGTCCTACTGTCATGGACTATCTGGGTTCCCCAAGCCATAGAATCTATAAAATCCAAGGCTAGCCCTAACCAGAACTCTACCTATATTGAAATAGAGTACATATTTGCCCACATTGACCATTGTAGAGTCCTTCCTGGAGGAATATCGTTGTATGTTGGACCATCTCTACACAAGATCTGAAAAGGGATGCATGCAGGGAGAGGCCTATTGCCTATGGAAAGGTCTCAACTCTTCCATGAGTCTAAGTATCCCATCCTTTCAAAGCCTGTTTGCTACTTTTCCTGTATGAGTTGTCCAGGATTGAATAGAACCCTGTGCATCTATTCATTGTCAATAGCTTCTCTTCCACAGGGTGTATGGCACATAGTAGCTCTCAATAGTAGGCAGCTAGGTGGCTCAGTGGATAAAGCACCAAGTCCTGAAGTCAGGAAGACTCATCTTCCTAAGTTCAAATCTGGCCTAAGGCACTTACTAGCTATGTGACCCTAGGCAAATCACTTAACCCTGTTTGCCTCAGTTTCTTCATCTGTCAAATGAACTGAAGAAGGAAATGGCAAACCACTCCAGTATCTTTGCCAAGAAAATTCCAAATAGGGTCACAAAGAGTCTGACTCAACAATGGCTCTTAATGACTAATTATTGACTGATTGTATTCTTCTAAAGTTCATGTATTTAGTTTTACTCAGAAGAAAAATTCCCCAACTTAGAAAAGTATTCTGGATTTTCTAAGCATCTGGGTCTATTTATTTAACTAGACTTAGAATAGTGTCACTTCTCATTTCACTAAAGGTTACTCTGACTCTCTGAACTATTTGTCAAGAAATATCTCTCAAATTTTGTAATTATGCAAGAAAAGCAACTAACTGATCCCTGACCCAGCAATCACACTGTAAGAGATCAGTGACAGAACAGTAGATAGTTCCTTTATATAACAATTTTTTTTTAGGCAATTGGGTTTAAGTGACTTGCACAAGGTCACACATCTAGTAAGTGTCAAGTGTTTGGTCTGAGGCTGGATTTGAACTCATGTCCTACTGACTTCAGGGCCAGTACTCTATCCTATATAACAAAATACTAATAGCAGTACTCTAGCAAAGTAATAGTACTAGCAAAACAAAAACAAAAAACAGATTAGTAATAGTTATCATTTCTGTAGCATTATCACATTTAGGCCTCACAACAATTCTGTTGCTATTATTAGTCTCATTTTACAGCTGAGGAAATTGAGACAAGTTAAGTGACATGCCCAGGGGCATACAGTAAATGGCAGAGGGAAGGATTTGAACTCAGCTCTTTCCTACTCCAAGTCCAAAGATCTATCCACTATATTACCCAGTGACCATCAAAATGGATGCCTATTGATCTACGTAGCCTTTTTGCCTAGACCTGAGACCATGTCTAGAATGTTTTAATTCCATCATCATCTCTGAAATTTCCACCTTTGGGCTCCTCTGTTCTCCTAATTGGAAATTGTCCCACCTGATCTACTATTTCAGCCAGGTTTCAGCCATGCTTCATTTCCCCAGTCCTCAACAGTCTTTTCAACAGACCCATCAGCCACCTTGCTGCCTTTTGCATACCCCTTCCCTGTCTCCTATCTCCAGTTCTTGAACCATTATCAAATAAATTCTTACATTGTTCCCAGAAAGGGCATATCATTGTTCTCTCTAGTGGTCATAAGTGCCCTTCCCTGGCCTGTACTCTACCACCTGTATGTTGTATTCCCCTGTTAGAATACAAACTTATCAAGTAAGGTACTATCTTGCTTGCTTGTACACATATCCATGGCCCTTATTAGCACAATACTTACAAGATAGTAAGAGTATAATAGGCGTTTTTCATTCATTAATTCATTCTTTAGGAAAATAAGTATCACTAATTGAGGGACATGCTAAGAAATGATGTAGAGTAAATGAAGCAATACCATAAAAATATGCCTACAATAAAGTAAATGAAACTATTAAAAGACAAATAAACTCATCTTAATTGTAAATTAAGTTAGTTCTAGGGTGAGTTCTGTAGATCAGGGGTTGAGATGTAGAGAAGTAGGGAAGTAGAGGTCTGGATTATTGCCTCATACTGTCAGACTCAGATACTTTCTTGGACAGATTCTTTGTTACCAGGGTAGGTTCAATGACATGGGCATTTCAAATACTGGGAAACAACTGTGATTTTTCTTTTAATGCAAATGGTAGCAATAAAAAATGGAAAATAATAAATATAGTTGGATTAGCTTACTATAGAAGGCTGGGAAAGTATGGAGAGATGCTCACTTTGGCTCAGCCAGAGTTATAGCAGGGTCATCAAAGGTTATTCTTAATGAAATGTAATCACTAGATTTTTGCATGAAGTGAGAGACTGAGCAAGGGCAAATCGTTGTCTTGCTTGAGCCCTAGGCAAGCTAGGGCAGCTCAGAGTAGGGAGTACCTCTTCTTAGAAACCTATGATTTCACTGTCCTACAAGGCACAGATTAAATACCATGTTTATCAGATGGTATTTCAAATAGGGAGACACTTAACAGTGGTGTACGTTGGGGTGGGGGGAAATGCATCGTTTACTCTTTCACTGACCTTTTCGCTTTGTAGTTGCTTCTAAAAAACGAGGGAAGTATGGAAGTTGCCAATTCAAGATTGTCACAGGCAGCTGTCAGTAAGGTAGTTACAAAAAGTCCGTAGCGTTCATAGGATAAGATATTATATGGCACAGAAACAACCAGAAAAGAAACAGACCTCATTTGTAGAGGTTTTGGTGTGTTATGTTTTTCCCTGTTTTTCTTTCTTTCTTCCTTTCTTTTCCAGTAATCCACAAGGCAGCTTAAGCCTGGCCCCAGCCAAGCACCTATGACGAGGCACTGAGCAGCCACATGGGATTTTTCATGGAGATTTTCCCTCAGTATCTATGATGCCCTGTAAGCCAAGATCAAGTCTGTCGAGGATATCCTGGGCAAATTCTTCATTCCAGTGAAAGATGCAGGAGTGTGATTTATCCCACAAATAAAATACTATGGATGTAATTCCAAGGGGAGAGGAGAAAGGCTGTGGGTAGAAGCCCAGCATCTGGCAACAAACACAACACCAAAAACTTGGAGGTGATGTTATATTTATATAGGTACATGTATATTACACACTGTGGATTGATGGCAATATATTTTGAGAAACAATTTGTTCCAGGTCTGGTTTCAATGACATGTTGTCATTTCTATAGTGGAGGCCCACAGTTTCAGCAATTCCATCCACCAAGCAATGCTGCAGATTTTTATTTCAGAGGGCGAGAACGAAGTAAAAAAAGTGCAGGTCTTCAATTAAAGTGCATGGATGAGGTAAACTAATTGCAAGAGTTTTGAGTTTATTCAGTACTGGCTCAGACAGGAACCATCCTGCCATGCATCTGTTGCATTTGGGTCCGCATTGCCTGGACGCTGTTCAAGATCTTGCTCTGGTGCGTGGCAGCCGTGATGCCGATTCTTGCCAGGTCACTGCATCGGGGGCAAAAGAAAGAAAAAAAAGGGCTCAGGTTCTCATTTTCCGAGGCTGATACAGACACACATTTGAATCAGGCACAATTAATATAGCACAACAAGGCAGGTGTACAGAAATGTTTAATTAAGCAATTTAATGTAACAATGTAGGTGCTTTGCAAAATTACATTTGATCAAAATGAGAGGCATTCCATGTCATAATGAGCAAGATGAGTATGCAAGCTCCAAGCAAAATAAATAAATAAAATTAAATGAAATTTAAAAGACTGATTAAATCTAGATTTACCCTTTTTTGTTACATCGCTGAGTACTTACTCCTGGTTCATGTGCACCACAGCCTCGAGAGTGGTGTAACCGGCAGCTGTGAAGTTGTCCTTATACCGGTCCATTTTAATGGCTTGCAGCCAATCACCTACTGATACCACAGCAGAGAACTCAGGAGAGCTGGGATCCAGCAAAGCAGTGTTGGGCCTGGAAATAGAAGGAGTTGGGACAAATGGTTGATATCAAAGGGATAATAAGACACAAAGTTCAAACTACCCAAAGATCATGTGCAGGAAGGAAGGAACAAAACCTCTGGATAACACGGTCTGTTTTGTTCCTTTAAAGTAGAGAGGAGAAAAGTCTGGACCTGTGATTTCAATTTCTGACTTGGAAACTGCCTAACTGATCACCAACTTAAAACTATAACTTACAGTCCAAATTTGTAACTTATACATATATAGTGCTCTAAATGAAATGTAATTGTGAGATTTTTTCATGAAGTGAGAGACCAAGGAAGGGGCAAACTGTTGGCTTGTTTGAGCTGTAGGAAAGCTACAGGGACTCAAAGAGGGACTAGCTCTTCTTAGGAACCTATGATTTCACTATCCTGCAATGCACAGATTAAATAGTATGTTTATTATGCAACATCAAAGTAAGGAAACGCTTAATGAGTATAATCTATATTAAATCTGTAACTTATACTCTTAGAAAGATGCCTGAGTAATTAGGACTTTAAGTGACTTGACCATGGTGACCAGATCTGCATTGATAAGAGGCAAGATTTAAACTTACAGTTACCTGGCTTTGAAGGCACCCCACTGGATAATGCTACCTCTTCCAAATACCATAACTATAAAGTGTAACCTAAGGAATATATAGATATAGATATGTGTGTATGTGTGTATATATATATATATATATACTTATATCCATGTATACATATATACATATATGTTTTTCTCTGTAACAAAGTCATAAGGTGATATATTATCTGCCATATTTGTATTTTATGTTTCTGTTTTTTATTCCTTTTTAATTCAATTTTCAGGATGGATCATAACTGGATTTTCCAGTACATTAATGTTCATAGCTTTCATAATATTCTTTATCATAATATTTACACCTTGGCTGGGCTTCTTTAGCCATATCCCCTCAGAATGAGCTTGGCCCTCACTAGCATGATGTATCACAGACTTGAGTTCAGCAACTATAGAAACCCTAGTGAAGTATGAGTTGGGGTTGGGGAGGGGCTGATGCTTAGGGTGGGAACCATCAGCCCGTAGCCTGCCAGGCTTGATAGAAGCACAGAAAACAGCAAGAGCTCAAGTCAAGCATGTTTCCAACCAGTTTTTCAGGCAAGCTCGGTTCATTGAAACAAACTTGGGACAGCAGGGAGTTAATCCCTCTTTTAATCAATCCATTCCTGAGCAGCACGTGTGCCAAGACGGGAAGGAATAAAGGTCACTTTGATCATTGTTTGAGTTATGGAATGTGCTTCTCATATTCCCTGACTGGGGCTGCAAAATAATGATTTCAACAAATTCAATACACTTATTATTAGCTTATTTATTAGTTTATGTATATTTCATGCCAGGTGTTTTTTTTTCATAAGGTCACTGTCAAAGGCTACCTAGGATCCAGACAGAATTCTTAGCATTCCTTATCGTATTAAGACATACTGCCATATTAATAGCAGCTCTTAGTCAGAGTGGCTGTGGTCTTCTTTTTCTTTTACCTAATCTGACAGGCTCTATGTTGATAGTCATCTAGTATACTTGTACTTAGAATTAACTATAAAATCATATTGACATTTGCATTTTTTTTCTTTGAGACTGTTCAGTATTTCTCTGTGTGTTTATACTTATCATATATGAATTATGATCTATATGTTCTGATCATAGTGGACTTCATTTAAAATATTGGCCATGGACTTTGGATGATGCCTATAGTTTCAAATCCTTGTAGGGTAAAAATAAAACTGGACTTGGAGTCAAAGGATGGGGGTTTGAATCCCGGTTCTGGCTACTTTGAGACTTTGGACAAATCCCTCCGCCTATCTGGCAAAATTCATCTTGTATAAAACGGGACTATGGAGGTCCCTTCCATATCTAAATCCACATTGCTATCATCCTTCCCTCTATTCTATGATAAAGCAAATCCGTCTATTAAAGAGGTCTTTAGTTGGGGTCCTATAACTTGTTATTTTCTCATATTTTGATAAATATATTTCTATATAATTGATTTCCTTGGTAATCCTACATAATTTGTTTTATGCATTTAAAAATATTATTTCTGAGATGGACCCACAGGCTTCCCTAAACTGCCAAAGGGGTCCATGATAAAAAAAAAAAGTTAAGAACCCCTGGTCTATACCCTTCCCAATTCCACATCTTAAAGGATCTATGAGTTAGATTGGCGTATGAAAAATATAACAGAGGGATGAGAATACTAGTTGGGGTGGGGGGAGCAAAAAAAGTGCCCACTTTAAGGATCTTTTGGCTTATGGCAACAAAAAAAAACACACAACACAGCAAAATGTGAGAATGAACAATGCCCCTCCCCATCCCACCCCACCCTGGCACAAGGGGCAGGAGTCATTTGATATTATTATGCTTGTCTTCTGAAATAATTTAACCAAAACAGTTGCATTTCACTTGTGAGCCAGCAAATGCTTTGTGGACATCGTGGAAGAACTAAGATAAAAATAGCCTCTTTGGTCAAATAGGCTGCCTTTCCTTGAATGTGCATGATAAATCATCATCCAGGAGTGTAACTGTCTAAAAGTGAAAAACAGGTTTCCTCTGATGCCATCCAGGAGTATCAGGAAAAGAATTAGGAACAGCAACACCTTGTTTGCTACTTATCATTTCAAGAAAACATATTCTGGGCAAACCACCATATGCACAGACATAATGGCTGTGATTGAAATACAGTCACTCTTCAGTGGCTATATCCCACCTACATTGTCCTCTCTCCACTTCTGTCCTGGCCCCACTGATAGAGGCCAAAAAAAAATCTCAGGCTGCTAACTGAATTCTTTCTTTTCCAGGGTGAGGTGACCACTGGCACAAAGACCCCTTGAACAAGGGATGTGAAAACTGGAAAGCATGCCTCACAGAAATCCCTATCACGAAATCTTCTCCCCAGTTTTCCCCTAGCAAAACCCTGCTATCCAAAGTTAAAAGTTAGTAGTCAAGGTTGGGATTAAGGATGAACAGAGTAAAGCTAGCTAGGGAGGCCAAGGGGGCCTGCCAATCCACTTTCTACTAGCTCTTCTGCATCTTACACATGCCGGGCACTATCCTGGGTTTATTCTAGAGGGATAGGGACTGGACTGGTAATTTCATTGGTGTCAGGAACTCCCAAGTGAGAAAACTCTTTTTACCAACGTAAGTCAGTATCTTCTAGGCAACTCAGAAACTTAGAGAAAGCAGCAGTGTCAGACTTAAGCAGAAAGAAATCCTTATGGGCTGCAGACTGACTTAGAAAACTACAGATTAACATTATCTATGTGGTATTGCATTTTTACTTATTTTGTTCACCATTTCCCAATTACATTTTAATTCAGTTCAGGTTGCACTTGGGAGTTCTGATGGAATTTGACACCTCCCTAGAGCATTGAGAGGTTAAAGGACTTGTCGCCATAAAATCACTGTGTATCAGAAGTGGGACTTGAATCCAGGTCTCCTGAGTCTTTAAGGACAGCTTTCTAGACACTATACCATGCTGTATAACTTTTGGGGTGTGTGTGTGTGTGTGTGTGTGTGTGTGTGTGTGTGTGTGTGTGTGTGAAGGTTGGGGGTGAGAGGAAAGGGGATGGGAGGGACACAGAACAAATGGGTAGGAATAGTCAGAAGAAAGTTGGTTCCACAGATGTATTGTGAGTGAATGTGTGTTTCTTTTTGGTATCTTTGTGATCTCGTGAGTATTATACAAGAAGTTCTTCAGACTGAAAGTATTAATCTTTGTATGTGCTGCTGTAAGACCATGCCAAACGTATTTGTACACTGTCCATGAATGGGAAATGTAGCAGATACAAATTCACAGGTTACATCACAGTCTTTTTTTTTTTGCTTGACAAAACACATATTTTCTTTTTATCATTTTTAAAAAATTAAATATTTTATGAACAACTTCATACAGAACATTAATTTAGCCAACAAAATTGACTTAGGAACAATTCATACTTAATTAATTTCTATATGTAAGGTATCATTACAAATTCTCATCACTCCCTCCCCATAGAATCCTGATTGTCCATTCATTTTCTTCCTTTCCTTTTATTTGGTTGTAGGTATTGTGTATTCTCTTCTCCTAATCCTTCTTACCCCTTCCCGCTTTGGATTATTTCACAAAGGTCTTTACAGATGTCTTTGTGTTCCTCATACTTGTCATTCTTAATTGCATTATAACAGCCCATTACATGACTCGGCCACAATTTATTTAACCACCCTACTTTTGTTAGACATTTAAGAAGCTTCCAGTTTTATTTTATTTTTAATTGTACACCACTATGAGAATCTTTAACCAGGTTACCTTTTTTGGTTATTGTTTGCTCTTTATGATGCTTTCAGGGCCTACTATTTGCCCATTTTCTTTACCAATAGTTTCTTTATCTTGCTCTCCTCATACTCACCTTTCATCCTCCCCCAAAATAACTTATTCATGGGCAGTACAATTATTTTATATTTTAACTAGATTCTGTAAGCTTCAGAGTGTGGTCTTTTCTCACTACAGTAGCTCAACGTCCATCCATTTTGGAAGCCAGGTAGTAAGTACTAGGAGACTAGAATTGCTCATCTGTCTTAAGATATATAGTAACTTTTTTTCAGACTAACATTTCAGTGTCTGTTATATAGGAATCAGGAGAACAGTTTCTCACGTTGAATTTTTCACTTGCAAATCCAAGATCAGCCTCAGCTTTCTGTAAACATTGATGCACTTTTAGTTTCTAACTCATTTTTTCTCCATCTCTTCTACACTGCCTCCAAGTTATTTCTTATTTGTCTCTTTTCAGGAACTTGGCATCTTTACTTGGCATGGAACACCTTTCAAAACTACATATGATGTCTCTTTTCCCTAAATTTTTCAAAACTAACTAGATTTAGGTAATGGTTTCATTGACTTTAAAAAAAAAATCATTATTGTTCCTTTTGGCCTACCAGGTATTAAGCTTTTCAGCATTAACAAGGAATGTCAGCAGAAGAATTTCTCAAAAATGATCCCCCATTGAAGAAAAAGGCTTCCCATATTGGGGACAGCCATGGAGCATCCTCTAACATGAGAAGAGAATCCGAGTGAGGATAAGTTACTGCTTGACTGTCACCTTCCATAGGTTCCCTCATCTATCACCATTACGTAAACACTGCTCACCTGGAGCTCTCAGTACCCGTCCTCTTCAAGCTGTTGGGGTTGCGGATGAGTTTGTCCAACATGTTGACAATCTGTCCAAATTTAGGCCTGTCACTTCTTTCCTTCTGCCAGCAATCTAGCATCAGCTGGTGGAGAGCAATGGGGCAGTCCATTGGTGGAGGGAGCCGGTAGCCTTCCTCAATGGCTTTTATAACCTGTACATGATAATACAAAGAAAGTCATAGGCTGCCAGACAAGTTGTCCTATGGGCTCCCATCCTCATCCTGCTCTTATTCCTGTGCCTGGCTTGCCTTCAGGCTTGGGAGCAGCTCCCAGCTCTATCTCTTTCACAATGGCTAAATCTGGCCCTAGTATCTCTGAGCACAGAAAAGGAAGGTTGGTAACTGTCATGGGATGTTCCCAACTGGCAAGCATAGCCCATCTGAATACCTGAAGCAAGAGCACATAGAAATTTACCTTTTTTTAAAAAAAAGAAAGGTAGAAATAGAGGGAGGGCAGGTTGGTGGCACAGTGTGTAGAGTTCTGGGCGTGGAGTCAAGAAGACTCATCTCCCTCAGATTAAATCTGGTCTGAAACTCACTAGCTGTGTGACCCTAGCCAAGTCACTTAACACTGTGTATTTCAGTTTCCTCATCTGTAAAATGACCCACAGGAGGAAATGGCAGACTACTTGAGTATCTCTGCCAAGAAAACCCCAAATGGGGTCATGAAAAGTCAGACATGGCTGAAAGGACTGAATAACAGCATTACCAAAGAAATAGAGGGTGTCAGAAGGAACTTCGAGATGTTATCTAGTCTATCTTTCTACCCCTATAGATGTCCGACATAATCACACCTAAATAATTCTAGAGTGGAGAAATGAACTCTAATTTCTTTTTAAGGACCTCCCTCAAAAAAAAAAAAAAGTTTCAGTGTGTAATAACTCTCACTAAGACTGAAATCCCCTATGTTTCAGCTTAAGCCCATTTCCTCCTATTCTGCCAGAGTGGAAATTAAAAAAAGGACCTGGCTGATCACCAGCACCAGACAGGCCAGCAGAACAGTGATGGAGGTGAAGTTTGCCTTTGGCATCTGCCTCCTTCCTCCAGGGCCTTTCCTCTTTCATTCAGCATCCCCAGAGTCTTCCAGGTGCCCAGCTCGTGACTCATTCCCACTCTCAGCTGCCTGTCCACCATCAGCCACTAAAAGTATTTACAGATAATCTCAGAAAGGGATATTTACAGTTTTTAAAAGGATTCTCAGTGACTTTCTGGGGGGAGGAAAGGGGAAAAAAATGTTGGATTGAGAGACAGAGGGCCCAGGTTCAAATCTCGGTTCTGACCTTAAGAAAATCACCTCTGGATCTCAATTTTCTCATCTATAAATAAGAAGGTTGTACTAGATGACTTATAAGGGCCCTTTCAACTCTCATTCAATCATCTGTGACTTTTAAAATGGAAAGAAAGATGGAATGACCAGTTAAAAAGCTGATTATTTTAAAGGAGAAAGCCCTTATTCCTGCCTCCTCAAATCATACTCTGTAAGAAAGGGGGCCTTTTCCCATTTAATGAATCTGCAGATGTGCTATTTAGAAGCTCTTTTTATACTATTATTGTCAGAATTCAGCCTTCACTTTTCCAGGTTCCCAAATCCTAATTATTTTAACTTTGTTCTTATAGGCACTATTTTTCAACCACTTAACCATCTTCAAGGTTCATTTCTGAATCCTTTCCACATTCCCAACATCTTACTTTACAAGTACGGAACCCAGACACAGACAAAGCCCTCTGTTAGGTTGTGGCAGTGCTGAGTGAGAAAGAAAGAATAACCCCGAATTTCTTCATCAAATATCTATAAGCTACTAACAAACTATTGTCCAGTTTCTTCACTCCTGGCAATATCTAACAGTTGAACATTCTAAAGAGCTGCCATAGAGTTTGTGGTGCAGCTATTACAGTGAACATAAAGCTGATTACTCAGCAAATCAACCCTATTATGAGAAAGAGTCATTTCTACTTTGTGACACAAGTAGGCATAGGTCATGCCTACCAATGATGTTTTAACTCTAGTGCTGTGTTTACCACAGCCTCCAAATCAGTTCGCTGTTCATCATGACCAGAGCTTTTTATTCCAAAACTATGAATAGCCAAGCCTGAATTTGTAGTCTTTGTTTTTCCTCATCTTATATCTTTCCCTATATCATTGAACCTCATTGACTATTCCCATTAGCTTAAGATCTAAATTCCCATTAAAGACAAGGAAGTGAGAAAGGAGGAGTAAAGATTCTCTCCCTTGGAAGACAGACACAAAATTAGTAGGAGTATTAGCAGCTGTGGATCAAAGTGAGCTGGGGAAGGGAGAGGGAAAAAATGCACAATCTAAACTTCAGTAATATATCATATTGAGGGGTGAGGAAGGATAGTAATATAGAACGTATCTTCTTAAGGGAAAATACGGGTTTTATTTTGTCTTTTTGCCCATGGTGCCTAGCATACAGTAACATTTAAGAAATGATCATTGGATTAGAATGGGCTCTTTTAGTACTTTTGAATTCTAGTTACATTCTTCCAGCTACTGGCCATGGCTTAGATCATGACTCAGCTCCACATTTCAGGAGAAGTTTCTACATTCAACTAATGAACAAGTACAGAACACTGGGGGGGTTTGGAACCGATGGCTGCCTACCACCATCTGCTATGTCAAACTGATGTTAACCCTGGAGCCAGCTGGAAAGTACTTTCTTAGTTTATTGATGAGTGTGTCATGTAGCACAGAATCAGAAATCTTGCCAATGTGAAGAAGATTGACATCAATTTCTTTTTCTCAATGTGCCAAAATGCCAATAATTCTTCATCATGGAGGCCATTCTTCAGTTGCATTTCCTGAGGTCAAGATTTGTCCATATCTGTGCTGTCTGCTTCACAATTACAAGAACTCATGCTTATTTTACACGTTATCTGGCCTGAAGCCACACACATGTAGATGTCCAGCTAATACTATAAGGATGATAATCTGGGTCTCTTGGAAACCTGCTGTTCCTCTATATAATTTACAAAATGTAATGACTTAAAACAATGAAAAGCATATTCGAAATGATACAAAATAGGCAGGTCCCAAAGTGAGACAAATCAGGCCTTCCCCAAAACTTTAAATTGGAAAGAATTAGCTAAATAGCTACAGGCCTTTGTCAAAGCTACAGGTTTGAAAATAGACACAGCAGGACGACAGACATCTGGAAATATTTTTAAAGGCTCTGCTCTTATGGGAACGATACTCTGAGACTCAGACGAAACTGAAGAAAGCTCAAAAAATCAAAATAAATATACAAATGCATGAGCTGCCCTTGGGTTGGATGGTTTACCTTTGGCTGTCTCTGAGCTCTCAACCTGAATCCTAATACTGCAGGAAGCCACTTTATGCTCTTTGCATAGAATAATTGTACCAAACGATATATTACGCTACCATCACCACCACACAGTCTTTTCAAGGCTGTAATTATCCATCAGTCATGCTAGCTGCTGCCTTTCTTCCCATCTGCAGTGACTCTTTCTTTGCAATTTATAGATAATACCATGTCAACATTAAGTACCCCATTTAATCTAGTTATTCAGATTCAGGGATCTTTTTTGACCCACAAAACAAGAAATGTATTAAGTACTCTCTTGATCCAAAGCAATCTTTCACTGATGAAAAATCAAACACATCAAATTTCTTAAGCACATCTGGTTTTTAGATTAATTGTTAAGTCCTGATGACCTCCTGTTGATTCAGGAGAGCAAGGGAGTCTTAGAGGGCATTCACATGAGAAAGAAATTGAAAAGGATATCCTTTATTTTTTTTAATCAAAAATACATTTTGATGTCATTTATCACTATATCACAATCATGAGGGTAGAAGAGACTCTTGCCTCCTCTCCAGATTGAACCCTCTCTTTTAACAAAAAAAACCAAATAAGCAAAAACACCCAATACAAAGGCTACCTCTGATAATACAGAACATCCTCTTTTAAGAAGGGGTAGATTGAAGTATTAGCAAGATCTAACTTCTTGCCAAGAGTCTAACATTTATACAATAGGAGGTTAACACACATTCACACAATAACAACAACTTCCTACAAACATTTTGTTGGGATCCACTTGTCAGTAACCTTATTGACGCTGTATCTCTGGACCTGTTTCCCCATTTATATAATGGGCTAATAAATACTTTGTATTACCTACTTCATAGGATTGGTGTGAGGAAAGCATACTGTTAACTTCAAAGCCCTATATGAATGGGAATTATTATTATTGTTATTACAATTCCTTTCCACAAACAGCTGAGTTCAAATTCCAGGCTTATTTTTTTTTTAATATCTTCCAATCAATCTCCCAGGAAAGCAATTGGGCCCAGGTTGTTGCTGTTTTTCGGTCTTTTTCACCTGAGACGTTTGCCACCAAGCTCTCTCCCCACAGAATCTTATTAGTGTCATTATCGAGTGCTTTTTCTTGAAATCGCAGGCACTATGTGTATGCATTCCCTTATGAAGTAGACTGAAAGTCCAGATGGCACAGTTAAAGGGATGTGCATAATTTACAAAGGGTCATTTAGTGAAGCTGTTTTTTAGTGTTCTCAAGGGGCAGCTCTTCTGTTATTGAGATACTGGTGCAAGTTCTAATTACAACTTCACCAGAGTTAAAGTATTAACCCCTTTTTTCCCCACTAACCCTAACTTTTCAGGAAATGTATGTAAGGAATTGATGTTCACTTCATATTTGGGTATATTTAGTTTTCCTTGCCCCCAACCTCCCCACCCCCACAAAAGAATTACTTTCTAAAGCTTATCAAGTGAAAGAGCTTGCTGATGGAGTTGATGCAATTTATTTCCTATGTCTATAATAGTAAGTGTAGAAGAATTTAAGTTCTCTGAAGACAGGGAATGATTTTTGTTTGGTTGGACTTTTTTCTTCCTCTTGATCATCAGTAATGTACACATAGTAGGTGCTTAATAATTCTTGTTGGATTGGATAATCATAACAATACATTAGATAAATAGGATTTATTGTTATTCTTTTTTTTAAGCAATTGGGGTTTCGTGACTTACCCAGGGTCACACAGCTAGTAAGTGTCAAGTGTTTGGTCTGAGGCAGGATTTGAACTCAGGCCCTCCTGACTTCAGGGCCGGTGCTCCATCCTCTGCACCACCTAGCTGCCCCTCTCTGAACACTATTCCACAATTCCCCACCACCACCATTCCACACCCTCCCCCCACCACCTTCATCCCACAAACACTTAGAATCTCAATCCAAACCCATTTGTTTCAGAACAGAGAACTCACATCCTGGTTGGACATATCCCAGTAAGGCCGCTCTCCATAAGACATCACTTCCCACATCACAATTCCGTAGCTCCATACATCACTCGCAGATGTGAATTTACGATAAGCAATTGCTTCTGGTGCAGTCCACCGGATGGGAATCTTGCCACCCTATAAACATTGAACTATAAGTTATTTCCTAAGCACAACACTGACTCTGCAATTTCTGAATGACATCACTGTTTTCGAAGACGACAGTAGAGTGCTTGGGACAGCTCCCAAAATAATTCCAGAAAGTAAGATAGCCTTTCTTGTTTCATCTAAGTTTTCAATGTTTAGAGAAGCAATTTCACCCGTATGTTTCCTTTAGTCACAGAGACATGGATCAGTAAATTGTTTAATGTGATTTCCTTAAACCAACCTACTATCTGACCTCGGCTTAATACCATATCAGGGCAGTTTTGGTGGTGGCGGTGATTACAGAAGGCAAGATGCATGTGTTATCCACAACAGATAAAATGTAGAAGTGCATGTAGTTCTAGGAGATTGACTCTTTTCTTGCCTTATTTTCTAGATTCATACTAATTGGGCAGCATAAAGGTCCCTGCTTTAAAGATTGCTTCAGAAATCATGAAATCAAGGCCAAATTGAGAATGGTGTATGAAATACTGTCTCTTTTCTTCTCCTACCATCATCCTGCCCCTTACTCAGCACAAAAGGCATGTTCAAAGTAGCTGGGAGAGAAGTGGTAAGTAGGATCTCAGAGGCGAAAGAGAAGAAACTAGATACAATGCTAGATTAATTCATTTTTTCTATGAGCTGTCCAGTGTGGGAGAGGAGTAAGAAGGTGTGATTTCTTATTGAAGTTTTTAAAACGACAGCTCTTCAAACCAAGGTAGAGAGCCATCTGTTAGAGTTTAGGGGACATTCTAACCAGTTATCTGATTCCCTTTTACCATAGTCATCCCATGCCAAGAATTTCTCTGTTTGTTTATGTTAATGTACAAGGTGTTTTTAATTGACTTTAAACTTTACTAGGGTACCATCTGGGGGAACTGATTCAAACTCAAGTAGTTCCATTTTAAACTGCTCAATGGAAAGAATCCAAAAGTTTCCTTCCCTTTATTACGGATACTAAAACAAGACTAGAGAGTGGGCAGCAAATGGCATTGTTACTCTGAAGCTTCCTCTGAACAAGATCATCTAACACTAAAATTCTCCCTCTTCATGGAGGAACTACCACATTGTCTTCTGCCTTTGCCTCCTATAATGTTTGCTGTAACTTCTCACCTTCATATTATTAGAGGAAAAGGACAGCTCTTCACTGTTTAACACAGATCATTCCTTTTCTAAGTGAATGAACTCTAGTTGCAAGAGGGTACAGATTAGAATGAGCAATTACAGCCAAAGAGACTGAATATTGAAATCAGGCTCCAGGCGCAGATGGAAAATGGCAAATATTTAAAGGAGGTGGGGGGAAGAAGGCTGGAAACTTTCTGCTTTGTGTTAATTTTAATGGTGCTGGTCTTAATGGTCAGTAAATTGTTTTATGAGCTGCTGTGTTTATTCCATTAGTGTTTTATACTCAGATTGCTAAGGCAGGACAGCAGACTCATTAACTGCCAACTGATAACTCTTAACTGTACTCAAATCCTGGCTTATCTTTCAACAGTAAAATGCAGACCATTAGCAACTGGAAAAAAAATCCCCATAGTGAAAACATTTTATAAATCCATATTCTATACATTTCACATTTCCTAACTAACCAAGTGGAAAAAAAAATTTGGAGGGGAAGGATTTCTCAAAATATGAAGACTTTAAAAGATTAGAGGGGAACGACATGATAAAAATATCATCAGAGTATCATAGATTTAGAGCTGGGTGAGAACTGGGAGGTTGGCTAACCCAATCCCTTTATTTGAAAAATGAGGAAACTGAGGTTTAGAAAGGTGAAATGATTTGTCCAAGGCCATACACACATAAGTACTAGCGCAAAGATCCAAATCCAGGTTCTCTGACTTTAAATCTGACTGTACCATATCATCTCCTTCCTTCTCTTCTCTTCTTCCTTCTCTAGTTGCTGCTATCTTTAAGTTAATTAATTTAATTAAGATTACTCCTCATCCAAAAAAAAAGGGGATAAAGTCTATCTTCCTTAGTAAGTCTAGTGAAAGTTAACACATCTGGGATCTTTTTTCTTTAAGGCAAAATCCTTTCTGAGAAACACATTTTTAAAAAATACAATAACTATTTAGAGAATAGTCCAGAGAATGGAGGACTTTTTTAAAGATCAATTATTAATTTTCCTGACACTCTAAAGAATGATGAGTTTTTGGAGGCCAAAGTGTTCATTATCAAATTTTCAGAACAAAAAAGCCAATGGTACAAGACTTACCCTGGTTGTATAAGCTGCTTCAGGATCATCTTCAAGAACACGAGACATGCCAAAGTCAGATACTTTGCAGACCAAGTTGCTATTGACCAAGATGTTCCGGGCAGCTAGATCTCTATGTACATAGCTCATATCAGAGAGGTATTTCATCCCAGAACCAATGCCACGAAGCATCCCAACCAACTGAATCACTGTAAATCTTCCATCATTCTTCTGCCCAGAAAGGGGAGCGGGAGAGAAGGAGGAAATGGGGAAGATTTCATTAGCAGTATAACAAAATGAATTATTTCCCAGGTATTACCGAGCTATTTTTGATAATCCTCATCTACCACAAAACACAACAAATACCACATTATTTCTTTGCCTTTCTGACCAAAGACACTAATTCACTAAGTGAACACGTCTTACAATCTAGGTATGTGCTTCCTGTGATAGATGGAATTTATCCAATTATAATGAATCTGTGGCACTGCCAGGCCCACTGAAAGGGGATAAATCAAGCACAGAACTGACTAATCATGGATTATTTAATAGGCTGTTTTCAAAAATCATTGATTCTGTATTTCCTTTCTTCTCCTGTCCCCACCCACACAAATTCAATAAAGATAGTCAAACATAAGTCCTACCTAGAATAGGGGGGTGAGTTCATTACCAAGTGCAAACAGTCTTGAATGTAATATCAAATAGTCACATACCCTAAGGAATGCATCCAAGGAGCCATTCTCCATGTACTCGGTTATGATCATTACAGGTTTACCTAGAGTTTTCAGAAAGAAAAACATAATTCCTTGATGAACACTGCCGTTAATGAGATAAAAATGGGCTATGTACGATTTTACTGCCAAGACACCTGTCTTATGTGATCTAATTTAATTAAAACAAGCCAAGCTTATGCCTCAGCTGTGGGGAGCTGGGAATGAAATATTAAAAGGACGAGTAGGTTTAATCTCCATCTGGAAGGTTAACCCTTTGGGTGACTTGTTGACAAGGTCTTTAAAGTGGCCTCTGGTATCCAGGGACAATATGAATGGATAATTGCTCATTCAAGTTGGAGGGGTAGGGATGGGGAAAGATAAAGGGGAAGATATGATTAAACATGAAAAAAAAATTAGGATAATTAAATCCACTCCCCCTTCCCCCAACCCTGTAAGAGTCTTGTGTGACACTAAAGAGTCAGTGGAGGAGGAGACTTTTTTCCTTATTACTTCAGAAATATCTCGAACTTTTAGCACTTATGATTTAAACGTTTCCTTCACTTTTCTTAGATCAGGCTCTGTACATCCCTCTTTTTTCTCTTTTTCCTCCTTATATCTATAAAGAAACTCTATCTATCTGCTTAAAAAAAATACCACCAGAGAAGAGCTTTATCCAGAGGGTAGTGGAATGCAATATTAACACTTCATTTCATTGTGATGAGTACAGCAGAGAAAACCCATTCTTCCTAAGTAGGGTGGAGGAAACAACATAGATTTTGCTCGTTTGTTTTCCTTTTCTTTTCTTTCGCAAAGAAAGTTTTGGAGGAAAGTTATGCTTGCTATTAGCCCTCCCCAGCTATAGCAAAGGGCTCTTGATTTTAAATCCCTAGGAAAGCTGCATTTGATTTTAAATGTGCATTGTCACAAGTAATTTTCATTGAGATATATATATTTTTTGGAGGAGGAGATTTCCTTCTCCCTATTTTTTTGGCTGGGGGAAAGGGGAAAAAGCATGGGGTCACTAAAGATGCCCTAGAAGAGAGCAAAATGCTAGCTTGATAGATCAAAAATGTTCACAATTTGCTCACTACATTTACCATCAGTATCCATTTAGACAATCAGTCAGGGAGAATAGCTCTGGAATATTTCAACATTGAAAAGGTCCCGTAATTATTCTGCACCAATAAATTTCTGTTCATTCCAAAGTCCCACTCTGCTTGCAATTTCCAGAATGGGCTCTTAATTTCTGAAGTGAAATCTTTGGATTAGAGAATAAGACTATGGATGTTATAATGTGAGAAACTATAAAAATCAGGAGAGAGTAAGAATCTTGGAGCCCAGCAAAGAGATAACTAAATACATTATCCTTCCCTTCTCCCTCACTTCACTACATTATGGTGAAAAGTCTACCTTTCTGTGCCTCCTTAGTATAAATGAGAACCTCTAACCCAAACTGCATATTTCCCAGTTCCCTTTACCCCTCGCATCCTTGACCATGGTCTTATGACAGGACAGATATATTTAAATGAGTTTTAATTAACCTGCCTCCATCAAAAGATACTTTGTCAGCCAACAAGGATGGGGACCCTTCTTTCAGTGCATTAACCCATAATTCCATTACTCAGATACTGCCTTGAATGGTAGGGAAAAGAGAGAAATAGAAATAGGCAGGAAAGAAGGGGTAGCAAAGGGAATTTATGATCCTACCATCAATAATAAAAGTTACTCAGATAGCATCTGGTAATGGAGTCACACTCTTTCTTCCCACTTCCACACCTTCCCACTCTGCCAGCCCAACTCCCATGGCACCTCCCTCATATATATTTTGGGGGCTAGATTTTATTTTTGTTTATTAAAGGCATGCATTCTCCACAGCCTTTTCAAGCTCTGTAAGAAAAATGAAGACAAATGTATTTCTATAAGAAGCAGTGCTAACAAAAGAGTAAGGGCTCTAAGATAGCCCATTTGGGCTTACAGTGGACTCCTTCATCAGAAACTAGACAGACAGAAATCCAATGTGGGGAGGAGAGGAGGCCTATGCCATTTACCCTCCTCACCCTCCCAACTACCACACACCCCAACCACCACTTCATTTGGTATAAATTTTAAATCATTTTAATTCAGTGACAAGTGCATTATGCAAATGCATCTAGTCATTTATAACAGTTACAGCTGTAATAGCTATGGGTTTTAGAGGCACAGTGGGATTTTAATACAAAGATCCCCTGTTACCTCTCTCTTTTACTGAGGTGCTATGAAATTCACTGTCTATGGAAAGAAAATACTCAAAGTCAAACAGAGACTCCTTTTTACAGAATGGGACCTACAGAAGTATTTAAACAGAATGTTATCTTTTAATTAAGGACTGAGGGGCTCAGAGCAGCCCTGTAGGCCACAGAAAAATATCCTTTCTGAAAAACTGCTCTTAAGAAGTAAAGTGAGATAGTCAATGCTAACTGCATTCTCAACCATAAGAAATATCATATTATGTTATATTTTTTATACAATGTTATTTGATCATTTTTTCTATCATTTAAAAATATCCCTGGCATATAATAATGATAAAAAATATATAGCATATTTTCCTATGACAGAAAATTTAATTAACACAGCCCATCTCACTTGATCTTTTAAGATTAGCTTTATGGAAAGACTCTAGATCTGTCTAGATTTTTGTAGATTGAGATTTCAGCCATTTCAGTTACCTCTATTGCTTTTTTCAAGAATTCCATTTGGGACAAGGAAAAGAAGTAGGTAGCTCTTAAGATGCCTTTGAGAAGTAGTAAATACCTGTCTTCTCCCCTTCCTCAGCCTCCAACAAAACACTCTGTATACCTCATTAGTTCTATTTTCATAATCTTTTTCATTTGTATCAACTATAGTAATTCCATTATCTTATACAGTGGTCATTTTTTAGAAATCCTATATAAACCCCATTTTAGGATTGTAGATTTAGCACTGGAACAGACTTTAGAAGTCATTTTGTTCTGCCCTTTCATTTTACAGATGAGGAAACTGAGGCCCAGAAAAGTGAAGTGACTTGAGCAAAATAAAGTTGTACCAGATGGCAGAGCGAGGGTTTGAACAAAGGTCCTACCATTCTAAATTCAGTGCTTCCCCCACCCCCGCCGCTAGACCATGGGGCCTCCCTCATGAAGAGAAGTGCTGGCTTCACTGAAAACATACTTCTGAGCACACTCTGATCCTCAACTCATTGTAAGTGTAACATGAGGGCACATTCCCTGCACACTGCCCTTGGAATAAGGCCATTCCAAACAGTAACTGCTTTAACTATATCGTCTTCATGCCACTTTATAAGCTGGGCTGAGCCAGCCTTACAGATGCATTTAGGCTTTGGCTTGGAAACTGCATCTGCTGAGCTCTGTCATATTTTAACTGAAGCGTAGTTCACAGGCTCAGTGAATGTTAATGGACTAAGAAAGCAAGGTTCAACCAGGTGTTACTGGGAATGGGAGCTGAGCATTGGTGGTCATAAATCAGAAAGAGCAGACAAGTCTTTAAATATAATAAAGATTCCTTCGACTCAACCTTCTGCATCTGGATTTGAAACTTCCAGCACAAGGTGTGAGTAAGATTTTGTTGTATTTATGTAAAAAGTGTGTCAATCTATTTGGCTCACCATCTGCTCTTGCCTGTCCTGTGACAATCACTTTGGCCTAGCAGATATTTGAACAATGCCATGGCATACAAAAAAAAGTTACAGTATTAATTTCCTGAAAATCACACACACACAAGCTGCCTTGAGGTAGGGTATCAGACGAAACCATAAACCCATTTAGAGCTGACTACAAGATTAATGACTTGTCCTACACTGATTTCCTCCTATTAGCAATCAGTGGATCTGCTCCATCTGTCATTTTCCTAGAAAGAAAATGTGGATTTAATTTCCTAGTGATTCCCACATTGGCCTGGAAAAGGACTGAGCTACTTACATTTGGTGACTACGCCTTCTAAGTGGATGATGTTTGGGTGGTCAAACTGTCCCATGATGCTGGCCTCACTCAGGAAATCCCTCCTCTGCTTGTCTGTATATCCAGCTTTAAGAGTCTTAATAGCCACACAGATCTCTCTCTTGCCAGGTACTTTGAGACGCCCACTGCATACTTCACCAAATTCACCTTTGGGAGAAAAAAAAAGTATCCACTTCAATGTAGGGATTCATTTGTAATCACATCACCTCCCTCAGCCCAAATCAAAATTTCTGCCACAAACTCCCCATTGTATACCTAATTTTATCTTTCAAACAAGACTAACCTTATTCAGCAAATACATATGTGTGGGTGTGTGTATACATATACACACACATATATATATATATACATATATATATGTATATACACACCCACACATATATACACATATATATGTATGTATGTATATGTATATATGTGTATATGTATGTATATATGTATATGTGTATATGTATGTATATGAATACATTTGTTTTAAGACCTAAAACCTCCCTATCACAATAAGAGTGTTAAAAAGTTCTAATACTTACCCACACCTATGACTTTTTCGATCTTAATGCAGGATGCATCGATTTCTTTGGCAAACTCTCGAACTGCTTGGTTGGGATCTTCATATGTAAAAGGGTCAACATAGGTTCTTACACCTAAAAGGCAAAAATATGAAAGCTTGGTTTAAGGCATTGACCATGCCAATCAGAAAAGTCTTGATATTTTTTAAGCACAAAAGAGAACACATGACTAATCTCACCGTGTAGACTTAAGTAAAATATGAATTAAGAACTGAAGTCCATTGAATAATGGACACTAAACAAAGGTTTAGATTTCTATCCTGCTCTTCTCTGGAGATAAAAATTTGTTATTTCCAAAAGGAGGGTTTTTTGTTGAAGACTGAAATTCAACTGCCTTTTTGGAAGGCAGGAATGAAAAGAACAAAATTTATAGAGAATCTACCAAATGGAAGAAAGGAGAGCTTTTATAGAGAGATTTGTTTTTCAATTGCTAATAGTTTAGGTGATTGAGAGATGGTTCTCAATTAACATAAGTTTCTGATATAGAAATGTTCATCTAGAAATGACTCACCCAACAGGATGGCCAATTAACCACAGAAACTTCTCTGCCTTCCTGGTTGTTTGAGATTTCTCTTCCTCCCCTACTCTCTTGTACCTGCAATCCTAGTTCTATGTCATTAGACACCACCCTGTTCAGGATTCTCAGTTAATCCCCTGGGTAAGAATTTTGATGGAATGATTGATAGAGACAAGAGAAAAGAGGAAGAGAGAAGGTTGGATAGCCATTAAAGGAAATAATTTCCTAAGACGCTGCTGCCAGCCTACTAGTCCTCACTGACCTCTTCTTACCCCATCCCTTTCCTTGAGGCTCTGCCCACTCTCCAGAGACCCCATGGCCACCACATCTGGCCCAGTTCCTATGTTAAAATACACAGGTAGCTTAAGTATGTGTTTTCCTCAGTTCTCTATGTTTAAGACAACCTTATATTACTGAGTTGACCATTCACTCAAGACTATGAAATTATTTACATTTAGATGAAATATTTCTGGAAATTATTTAATAAACTTGGAAAATTCTAGACTTCTATATCATCCTGACTCCATTCTTCCTTGGAAAAGTTATCATTTTTGTCTTATGTCTTCAAATAGGAGTATACTTCATGAATCTATCATGTCATTGGCTGTGGGACATTCACCAACTGAGCTCATAATCCCCACTATTACTAAGTAGATCATTTTCAAGGTCTGGTCAGGAGGAGGAGGAAGAGAAGAAGAAGAAGTCATTGCCCTGTAGCCAACTGGGTAGTGAGCTTCTCTGAAATGAGCTACATTGGTCCTCTGAAAATAGACATATATTATGCTTCATGCCAAGCCCCACACTCAAAGCCTTTCCAGGTATATAGGACCTATTCACATACCCCATTGAAATAATCCATGAGCACCCAGAGTCCTATCCATGCCAAGTGAGGGATGGGGTAAGGACTTTATCTAAGACCTTTGTGCTATATCCCATTGACATCTTTTACAACCAATGTCCCACAAAAATGAATTGATGGTGACAATGTCTTCTTCTTTAAATTGCATATCAATTGTCTCATTGTGTCAGGGAGGTGACTTTAATTCTTGAAGGTTACACCAGTAGACCCTAAGCTCTAGAAAACCCTATTAAGACTGAAAGCTATCATGCATGGCCTGAGACAGACTATGTGTCTGAGTACCAGCTTTCTGAAGTTTGGATAAGCTCGTCTCCAGAAAGGTCACCATCAGGTGATGTTGTTGTTGTTGTTGTTGTTATTGTTCAAAGATAATACCCCAACTGAAGCTCTAAAGAGTTGTGATCTGCCTCACCCAAGAGAGCACCTATATGAATGAAGTAATAATATCATGCCACCCAGCTGAAAAGAAGAGTCAACAAGTACAATGTCCTTTCAGGCTGGAAAGCAAAAACAGGAAAAAAAATCAGGAGAGGTTTAAAGAATTTCCTGCTCTCCAAACACTTTATCCCTTAAAAAAAGAAAAAAAAAATCTCTTGCAGTTATGATTTGATTCACTTGAACTGAATTACTTTGAGTGGTTGCATGAAAGGAAAACACAGAATAGGTCTCTCCAGATGAAGACCATTTACATTTCCTAAACACAAAGACAAGATATGAGCTTCCCAGAAGAGATCAAAAAACTCAACCTCGAAGATTTCTTTTTTTTTTTTACCTTGATTCAAATGTTTCTCTTCATCTGCTTCCTGCTTTGCCTTACTGTATTTACTCCGTCTGTTGGGGGAAAAGAACCAAACAAAATAAAATTTAAAAAAATTCAAATCTATTAGAATTTGCAATCAATACCTTGCCTAAAGACAGGCATAGTGTGAACCAAGCAAGTTCTTACCTAATGAAGCTTAAAATGGGAGTCAGCTGATAACACCTAAAACAGGAAACTCTTGCTTTATCATTCTATACTTAGGACTCAGACCCAGCATTCTATTTCTCTGTGGCAATGTTCATACCATCCCACTGAGTATCTTTCCCTTTAGCTCTGGGAACAGTAATCAAATCAACCTTGCTATTTCTGGAAAAGACATGTCAATCAATCCTCCTATAGCGCTATTCACATCTTTGTAATTTCCAAGCCCAAAACAGTGCCCCCTTGACACTCCCTTATATGAGTTGTCTTCCCACATCAGATATAAGCAATCAAGGGTGAAGATTGTCTTTTTTTTTGTATTTGTAACCTCAGCACTGGGCACAGTAACTAGAACATAGTAAATATTTATTTTTTTTTATTATTTCATTCATTTATTATGAGTTCTGTTACTATAGATCAAAGATGGAGACCAGGTTGGAAAATAGAGATGAATAGTTTTTTCAGAATTCTTTCCCCAGAAAAGATACTGCTTTTTTGCATATGATAAAGAGACTACTGGGATAAGGTTAACTGTTTTCCTTACCACAGTGTCAGGTAAACACTTTTCTTTCTATTTGAGGAAGTAGAGCCCTGGGGATATTTACCCTCACCCAAAGATGTGATAATTCTAAAATGTAAAATGGTTTTCTGACCACAAGTTAGGTAATAGGTGAACTTGTTTCCTTGGGGGTATAGCAGAGGTCAGTTCAGTTTAAAAAGAATTAATTTCAACAACAACAAAAAAAGAAATTCAGAAAAAGAGAAACAGTTAATATAACAGTTCTAAGGAAAAATTAAAAGACAGATCTGATTCCTGCTTAGGCCTTAATACTTCTGGTATAGCCTGGACAAGGAAAAGATAACTAAGGTAGGCATCCTTTCAAAGGAAAGGATTACAGCGTTTTCAGTAGAGGAAAGATTGAATTGCACATGGCTTTGAGGAGAGTACATCAGCTGAAGTACATCAACAGAAAACATCTATAGCTTAACTATGTTGTAGGCATGAATTATTCCTCCATGTTTATGTAATGGTCACATGTGCTCCCTGTGTACACCCCTTCATGTAGGTATGTTGGCCACATATGTTCTCCATGTGAGGGATATACTCCCGTGGATATTCATTTTTCACTGAATCAATAGGTATTTGTGACAGCCTAAGCTCAAGGTTGATAAAATACATATAAAATTACTTTGCTTACTTTGTTATTTAGTTAAAATAAAATGCCTTTGTTATGCACTGTCTGCCATTTGGCTGACTGGTAAAAAGTAAAACACACTGGTGAGTGCTCATAAGAAGATTCCACAAAATACACAGGCCATAAATTAACTAGGTAGGGGTGCTGCATGTGAGGAGTCATCATGGTTGGGAGGGAAAGGAACTTGTAGGCTACATTATCATTGATGACTAAGAAAATACGGATGACTAAACCAAGGACTCTAGGATAATTTAAACAGAAGTCCCTCTAATTTTCAATCCATAGGCCTACATATTTTATTGAGTATGGGTAATAAACTCACAAAGTCCTCTCTGGTGTGTCAGTGTAGATATCTGTTAACAATTTTTTTTTCTTTAAGGAACTCTTTGAATGTCTAGGCCTACACTATACCCATCTTTAGGGAAAACAAATCTCTATAATTTTTTTTTAATGAGGAAATTGATGACTAGAAAGGTGAAATTAATTGCCCAGGGACCATCAGCTAGATAATAATAGAGCTGGGACCATAATCTAAGTCTCCTGATGCAAAGTCCAGTTGCTCTTCAATTTTTCTCAGCTTCTTAGCTTACTGTGTGACCTTAAATAAGTGGCTCGAACTCTCTGGGCTTTATTTGAAAAGAGATATGTTTGAGTCAGATAATCTCTAAGGTTGCTTCTGACACTGATGTTCTACAAATATCACATTGCTATCCTTTCTAAGCATAAACCACTGCAATTGGATTCACAGGTTCTTAAAGTCCATTGATTCATCAATGAAATTAAATAGCTTGATATAATCTGAAACATAGAATTTAGAACATAGAGCAGCACTATGGAGGTCAAGCAACATGTGGCTGGATATAGAGAGGCCCACATGACCCTGAGTACTTGTGTGATTTTTATGTTATTGGAACTCCTAAGACCATTACCTGAAACTGCAAGGATATCTTTAAACCCACTCTAGATCTAAAACACTGATTCAAACTGCTTTCCATCAAAAAGACTAAATAAATAAATAAATCCAAGAGGGATCGCTTTTGTACCTAATTTTGGTATTCTGTAAATTAGCTTAGTCAAGTATCATTTCACTCTTCTACTTCCAAAAATCAAAGTCTAGTAAGGAAATGCCAGCCCTGTAACTGCAGTAGTAGTTAAATTATGGTATTAGTGCCATCCCTGAATCTAGCATGTTTCCCAGAGTATACCAGGCAAGAAGAGAAATGAAATCACAATACAATAATTGCAATATCATAATAAATAAAATGCAAAATAAAATGATAAATTACGATACCATGTAACTTGTAGTTCTGTATCTGGCCCCCTCATAAAATGAGTGGGATGGATATTTAAATATGGACAGGGAAATTAATGTAAGTGGGTTGGAGTTAGTGGTAAACTTCTATTATTAAAAACATCTTTAGGTCTGACTTTGTGGGGGGAAACAAGGTAAGGTCATGGTAAAAAAAAGAAGAAAGAAAGCAACACAAGGATTATTGTTCAAACACTAAGTGTAGCTTATTAACTTTTAATAAGACCTTTCATAACAAAAATGCCCTGCTTTCAATTCTAGCTTTGTCACCTGCTGACCCTTTCTCTTTGGTTCAGGTTACAGGAACACTATGGTCAGTTATTGTGCAGGAAAGAAAACCCCTTGGAAGCTCATTGTTCGGTCAGCGGGCCATTGGGAAACACCCGAGCCCAACAAGACACAGCGGTCGCTTCACCCGAGTGACAGAAGTAAAGCTTCGGGGGAAGTTTGGATTTGGTAATTGTAAGGATTTGGACAGTGCTGATTGAAAGGGGGAAGGAGGGAGAAGAGAGACTAAAGAGGGCACACAGAAGTGTTCAGAAACTGCAGGAGTCCAAGAAAGGAGAAAGCTACAGGTGAGCCTGAGAGAAAGAATGATGAAGACCTTCTTAAAGGCTAAGGGATATTTGCAAAAGAGTATTTAATCAGCTTCCTTCAGAAACAGCGTGGACTCCGAAGTACGGCCTTGTCAAGCAATGTGTTCCAGTTGGCGTCTTGACTACTCCCGAACCAGACAAAAGGAAAGTAAATAGACAAGTCCAGAGCTGGGCGTTATCTGATTAAGACACTACTTCAATGCTCCAGGAGAAGGGTTTGATTGATGTAGTCCACCGTTCCAAAACTAATTAGTAAAAGGTAGGTAATTTATTCAACTGGAGTACAGATTAAAAAGTAAAGCAATCTAATAACCAGAATGGCTCCTAGGGGACACTGTCAAGCTTCCTCACTCGGTATCGATGACGAGGATTCGTAAAAGCCATCCTTCTTGCCTCTGACTTTTGGCAGCCTCTGTGGCACTTGCACCAACTATTTCTTAACTGTTCTTTCGAAGTGACGTTTTGAAATGGTTGGACCACAGGAACACAATGGTTAGGAGCGGGGTGAAAATGTTCAGGCGGCACCATCTGCTGTCTTTCATTGTACGAGTATACACAACTTCATCAGCGCCAATTTAAGTCACCATTCATTCTTCTGTGAACCTAATCTTTCAGAAGAGCCAAACAGAGTGCCCAGGGAAGAAGCCGGCTGAATGGAAACAGGCCAGCATCCTACGAGTCGCTGTTTTCCTCAATGGAGGAACTTAACCTTCGCCAAAAAGCAGGAGGCAGATTTCTGAAGTCTGACTTGGTTGTACATTTTACTGGTACATCAATTCATATGGAAAGTAGGCTCAGATCTGGAGACTGAGAGAGTGGCCTCAAAACACCCCACAACTTTGTCTGCTATCACAACTGTTGAAACCTTATGTTGTTAGGTTTGAATTCTATTTAAGATTCAACTAGGAGTTGGGAAACCTGGTATGGCACCTGCTACTGCCATTAACTTTGCAAAATGAATTTTAAACATTTATTAAGTACCTACTATGAGCCTAAAAATGTGCTAAGATGTTAACTTAAGAAGAAACATCCAGAGGAAGGACTAAGGTAGCCATTGATTGTATATTTAGAACTAAAAGGAACCCTAGAAGGCCTCTAGTATTACAGTTTCTCCCATTTTACAGATGAAGAAACTGAGGCTAAGAGAGATTAAGGGACTTTGTCAAGTAAGCATCAGAACTGGAATTTGGACCTAGGTCCTCCGAGTCTAAATACAGTACAGTAAACAGCATCAACCCATCAATTAATTCACCAGCATTCATTAACCTAGTTTGGGTTTCTACTATGCCATGGGCCTAGAGATCATGCAAACTGAGTACCAGGTGAAGGAACTGGTGATGTTTAGCCTGGAGAAGAGGAGCATTAGAGAAGACACAATAACTGTCCAAGAGACATGTCTGTTTCTGTATATTTTAAAGCAATTAGAATTGTTCTGATTCCATAACACACAGCCAAGAGCAAAGGGTGGTAGTTGCAAAGATGTGGATTTAGGCTGGATGTAAGGAAAAAATGTCCTAACCATCAGAGAGGGCAAAAAATGGAATAGGCTACCCAGGGCAGTGTTAGTTTCTCCCTCATGTAAGAGTTCTTTGAAGCAAAGGCCAGGCAATCCATCTGTCAAAGGTAGATTGATGCACTGTGTATTGAATACCAGGAAGACCTGAATCAAAATCCTGTCTTATGACACTTCTTAACTGTGTGAGTATAGACAAATCTGATCCTCATTTTCATCACCTGCAAAATAAAAGGCTTGTAGTGTCCACTTCGTAGAGTTATTTTGTTGTTGTTGAGTCATTTCAGTGTGTATTTCTCTCTGTGACCCCATTTAGGGTTTTCTTGGCAAAGATAATGGTTTGCCATTTCCTTCTCCAGATCATTTTACAGATGAGGAAACTGAGGCAAACAATGTTAAGTGGCTTGCCCAGGGTCACAGAGATAGTGTCTAAGGCTAGATTTGAACTCAGGAAGATGAGTCTCTGTGACTTCAGACTTGGACCTTTATCCACTGTGCCATCTACCTGGCCTCGTAGAGTTGTATTGGGGCTCAAATGAGATAACAGTATTTTGTAAGCTTTGAAAGGGTACTGTGTCAGTTGTTGATGATGCTGATGATGATGGTGGTGATTCTGTAGTAAAAACAGGATTCTCATTCAGGTATAGGTTAGACTAGATCTTTTCTTATATACGGAGATATGCCTAAAAGGCAGCCTACCATGATGGATCAAGCGCTGCATCTGGAGTTAGAGGACCTGGATTCTGTTCTGGCTGTGCCATTTACTAGTTTGTAACCTTGGGTACTTTCCCTCTTCAGCCTCAGTGTCCTCATTTGTAAAGTGCGAGGGTTGGACTCCAGAGTGGCTTCCAGCTCTAAAATTCTGCTTCTAAGAAGCAGAGCACTCAGAAGAACTGGGGCAATCAGCAGAGGAGGCCGTTCTAATTTCCCTGGCTTTATTTCATCTGTTGCTTTCCAGAAGCCTCTGCCAAACTCTGCCTCATCATCCAAGGGGAGGATTCCAAAAGGTCTCCTCATCTCTTTACCCCATTTCATTTTTACTCTCCCTAAAAGCCTAGGCTAGACTTCTGTCCCTGTTACCTGTCTTCTCTTTACCTGCTCTTGTCCAATTTAAGCACTACCAACCTGAGATAAAGAAATAGACAGCCAGAGTGGGGAGAAGAATTGGCTGAGTGTGCAGTAGCCGCAGTGTGCCTGTCAACTACCTGGCTCCAGGCAGCCTTTCCTTTGACAGCTTTATGGCCAATACTAAAGAAGAATCAATATGAGGGCAAGGGGTTGACATTTCATTTTCTAAAAAGTGATCCATTGAGGGCCAATCACCAAGCAGTGTTTATCAGCCTTGGGAAGTGACATTTTTTTTTTCCTTTTACGAGGGAGATGGGACAGGAATCATCTCTGGGAACTCAGCAGGCTCAATCCTCCAAGGTGGCGACTCATAATTAGAAATCCGATGCATCCAGCTATCAATCCTGTCTTAAATAATAAAGTGATCAATAAAACTGGAAAGGAAATTAAGTCATCGAGCTTGACGATGCTATTTTCTGTAGCCATGGCTTTTAATAAACCTGTCTCTCTATATTACATTTTCATATGTTCAGATTTCCTTTCTTTGGGTCAGCTCCTGAGCTAGAAGCTAAGCCTCAGAGAAACCATTACAAAGAAGGATGAATTATTTATAATTACACAAATTTCGCTGCTTTTTTAAAGACCACTTAAAAGTTAAAAAAAAAAAAAGAATAAATCAAGAGTGAAGTTGGAATGTCCTTAAGAAAGGGGCTAAATAATACCAGAGGCTATTTGCTTTTGAAAAGGGACGGCCACTCAATGCTTTTAAAAGGTAAAAGGTTAGACTTACTTTTCATAAGATTATTTTCTTATCCAGCACTGAGACATTATCATGCTTTGTTTTCACTTGAAATCTGAACTACCAGAGTCACCTTGAGTCTTCTCAGAAAGAAATGCCTTGAGAACTAAACTAGGCTTCCAAATTCCCTGCCTCAGTAAACTAACATTTACAAGGCATGTTCAGAATGCCTCTTCTAAGGGAAATGTTTTAAGGGACTGATCAATGGCTATAGTGAAATAGCACTCCTTTTTTGGTAGGGATTTTAATACTAGGCTTATGTAGATTATGTAGTATAAATCCCTCATTTTACAGATGAAAAAACTGTGATCCAGACAGGACAACTTGGGCAAAGTCACACAGGTAGTGAAGCAGAATTCACATGCAATCATTGTCTTTCATATTTATATAGCACTTTGCTCATGATAATCAATCAATCAATAAACAATTATTAATCAAGTAGGTGGGTTTATCCTCATTTTACAGATGCAGAACTTGGCTAAGTAATTTGCCCAAAGTCACAAACTAGTAAATAGCATAGCCTGGACTTGAATCCAGGTCCTTTAACTCTAAATCCAGTGCTTGTTACACCATGGCAGGCTGCTTTATAGGCACATCTTATTCTATACTCCTTACAAAAGAGAATTATCCTTAATACAGATATTTGCAGATAGACTAAAGAAAACTTTCTTAAATAACCCAACTTACAACCAATTTGTTCAGTTGTTTTCAGGTCCAATTTTTTGCAGTGTGGTACTCTATCCACTTGGCCACCTAGCTACCCTTCCAGCCAGTAAATTAATAGATGTAAAGTATTTCTTAAATATTAAAGCCTTATAGAAATTTCAGTAATAGTCATTGCTATTATTATCACATGTCTCAATTAAGCCAATGTTACAGAATTCAGTAAAAACAGGATGTGCCTAGGTGCAGGCAGGATGGAATTCTGACCAAACCCCTGGCAGACTCTCCTGATAACATCATTCACTCATTCAGTAATATATTCAATAAATACCACTGTTCTAGACAACGGGGACAAGATAATATTCACTAAGCAGAACTCTCTAAAATGATTATTTCTTTGTGAAACCACAGATAAGTCACTTTATCTTCTCTGAGCTGCAGATTCCACACCTGTAAAATGGGGCTAATATCACCTGTACCTATCAGGGTTGTCCTAAGTCTCAAACAAGATAACAATGAATTCTGTAAATTTTAAAGAGCTATATATAAACAACAACTATCATTATTATTATTATTATTATTATTAGTTTATTTATTTTACAGGTTAGCATAGCACCTGGCACAGAGTAGGCTATTATAAATGTTTCTTGATTAATTATTGATTGGCTTTTAATTTCCTCCTTTTAGTCACATAGAATCATGGCAGGTGATATGCATAACCAAACAAATTCATAGTCAACTATAGCATCAGTCTTTAGACGTAAGCAAGGTAAGCATTTGTTATTGTTGCTGATATTAGTTTTTCAGGAAGGGCTGCTAGGAGTCTGACGATAGCCTTAAGAGGGCAGAGGCCCCAACTACTGAAGATCAAAGGGACAAGGGAGGGAGCTTGTAATGCAAATGTCCTTTTATGATGCTAATCCAAGAACCTTGCTTTGTGTGAAGGAGACAAAAGGTTCCCTTATAAAGTAAGAGGAGGGAGGAGGGGCCCCAGGCTAGCAGCTTAAATCCTTACCTCCGGCTGATGACAAAGGCTGCAATCAGAATGACCACTAGCACCACGCTGCCCGAAACGGACACCAGGAGAACCGTGGAGTTTGTCCCATCTCCGATGATTCGGGAAGGCACTAGAAAAAGAAAATAAGACAGTTTGCCCTAAGACACGACAGGTTCAACTTTAGTGAAGGTCCCTAATAGAACAAGAGGGCCTTTCTTTCCGCTACAATTTTCTGTTTAGAATCCTCCTCCTAGCCCGGGGATGGGGAAGCTGTCCTAGCTTCTGGGTCCTTCATTAAGCATTCCCTCAACACCTCCTTACAGGCAGCTTTAATGAGATAGAGACCTTTTCAGAATGCCTAGAGAACTCCAGCTAGCAAAGAACTGTGGTGTGCTCTAACTCATGCTTCAGGGGAAAGACATAATAGGAGGCCAAGTGGTAGAGGAGATTATTGCTCTGAATCTGGAATAAGATACTGCCTGTATGACTTTGAGCAAGTCATTTCACCTCTGGAACTTAATTTCCTCACCTGAAAATTTTCTTCACCTGCCTGAAATGACCCCTTCTACGTAGAAATCTGAGCTTGAAAAGGTTGCATCATCAGCTAGTGAATGGCTGCCTACTTTTTTTTTTCTGAAAGCAAAGGATGTGATCAGTGAAAAGATGGCTGGTTCTGGAGACAGAGAACCCAGGTTCAAATCTGGGCTCTGCCATTTACTAGCACGTGACCTTGAGCCTTCCCCTGGTTTGCTCTTGATTTCCTCGTCTGGAAAACAAGGGGATTGGGATTGGACTATATGGAATCTGAGTACTCTCTAGCTCTAGATCTATGATACTGTGACTGAATGTATGACTTCCATACATGCCAACATCCCAGTAGACTCAGTAAATATTCATCAGGTACAAGGAACAAAGTCAAGGGCTTAGGTTCAGAAGACAAATTACTCCCTCTGCCTACAAGAAATTTGAATACTACCTCCTAAAAGGAACCTGCCCTAACTGGTAGACCTCCTCTTCCTCTGACTTCGTAGTCCAGATTTGCCTGGGCATTCTTTCTTTTGTAAGCTCTGGGTAAGTGGCATCAATCAACAAAAACAAGCTAAACCTCTCCAAAGGTGTCCTTGATCCTATTCTCTCCCAGCTTCCCCAAAAGATCCTCACCATTGTACCACTCTCTTACTTCCATCTCTCCCTGTCTACTGACTCCTTAGATGCCCATAAATACTCTCATGGGTGCCTATTCTTAAGAACTCTCACTTCATCTGGCCAACTCTTGCTAGCTATCAAGAAAATCCATGATTAATTCATGGTCCCACCCTAATGCAAGGTACAGTATAGTATGAAGAGAAGACATATATATATAAATAACTGTAATATAATATATCATATATACATGAAAAGGTACAAGAAAAATGTTTTGTGAGGACCACAACAGGGTTAGGTAATTATTGCCTGATCATAGCAGGTTTCTTGGAAGAGATGGCACCTGTGTTGGGCTTTAAAAGATAGATAAGAATTCAAGGTGGGCTGGGTGGGAGTAGGGGAAAGGCAGGGCAGCTTTAGAACATTCTAGGAGTGCTAGGAACAGAGTGTGGAATTTCTAGGAGACAATGAAGAACAGAAGACAGTGAGCAGTCCAGATGGCCAAATAAGGTATGGTATAGCTGGAAGGGAATACTATAAGATAAGGCTGGAAACAAATCCCTTTAATGGAGAATTTGTGAATAACAAGGTTTTCAAGTCACACTCACTTATTTGAAGCAATATTCAACAAGACAAAATCCCTGGATGAGTCTTTGGAAAGTGACTTGATGTTCAGTTTAATGATAAAATGAAGTAATACTTCTAAGGCCCTTTACTGACCTTAAAATGCTTATAAATGTGAGTTTAGCAAGGTATAAAGTATTATCATTAATAGGACTAAATTTGTACTCCAATAGGTAGAGAAAAGCACTTTGCAGACTTGAATGCATCTCACAAATGTCAGCTATGATTCTAGTTTTTGTCACTAATATTTTTATCACTCCAAGGAAAAGTCTCAGAAGAATTCTGCTCCTGGTCAGGCCTTCACTCCTCTTACCTGTGTTAGTCGTGACCTCAAAGGGCTCACTGAAGTCTCCATAGCCAGCTGCTGTCCGAGCTCTCACATGGAATACATAGGAAGTCAAGGGATTCAGGCCTTTGATGTCAGTGTTCCTGGAGGCTGTCCGCACAATCCTGTAACTGCGTTCATTCTGATCCTACAAGAGAAGGCACAGTTGAAGAAAAGTGGAAACTGATTAAAAATAAAAGCAAATTCAATTAGACATTGACAATATATGTAGATTACATTTTTTTTAAAGTTTCAAACACACTTCATTTTTCTAAGTGCTATTTTTTTCTTCTTGGCTCTCAACCAAACAGAGAAGACATGAGATAGTAAGGTATCAGTGATCACTTTTGACACAGAATACTGGAAACTCCAGGTAAACATCCAGATCTTTGATTATAATCTTTTTTGACAATAACACTTAATGAAAAAGGGTAGGCTCTCCCCCTCAACAATACACAATAGAAATAAGTACATGAAGGACACTGTCAAAGTCTTCTTTGTATTTTCTGGCTAGGAAGTGTCAAAAAAAAATGTTGTAATCTAGTTTGAATAAAAATCTTCGGTCCTTTTCTGCTTTTAATAGGCTGCAAATAAGCGATTATCTTTTTTTTAAAAAGAGAAAGAGAAGGTAATTGTTCATTTTCTAGACAACCTTGCATGCAAATAGCTCTTTTCATAGTTCTTTTCTTGAAGAAAGACAAGTTATTTGTAAAAAAAAATTGTCTTTCTATAACTTAGAGAGGCTGAAGAATGTAATTTTCCCTCCCCTATTTTATATTAAAAGCCATCAAACTCATACCATCATTCTGAACAGAAGCTATGCACTTAAACAGATGTTATTATTATTACTGTCTTATACGTCTCAGTCTTACATTACTATCTTGGCTGGTATCTTGAGCTTCTTAAATGATACTGATTTGCATGGTAAATACCCCTCACTCCATCCTAGAAACAAAATGTACAGTCATGCCAGGAGGCATTATATTATTCCTATTATTCAGAGTCACTATTTGAGCAGATGAAGTTCATAACTGACCATCATTATTTGGAAGCCAAATATATTCAGCCTTGAAAATACGCAAGCATCTAGGGCTAGTCTTAATTGTAACTCAAAAGAAAATCTGACTTCCTCTTTTTAAATCATACCTTCTCATAATATTTGACTTCATACTCTAAGATGACTCCATTTGGTCGATCAGGTTCCAGCCAAGCCAGTGCAACACTGTATCTTGTTATTTCTTTAGCCTGGATCAAAGCGATAGAAGATGGAGCTGCCAGAAACATTTAAAAGACAGAAGCAAAGAGTTTATTTTAACAATTTTCTTAATATTAATGATCATAATGAGTCAATTTTATCCTTTATTTTCTTTTTACACATGTAGACCATTTTCATCCCTACTCCCTTACCCCATTCCACTTTACAAAAGAGGTCTTATTATTAGAGAATTCCCAAACTTTCTGGTTTCCTGGTCTTTACTCTAAAGAGGATCCCCGAAGTCAAAGCTTGGTGGTCCAAAGTGCTATGATGTTATACAGTGCCTATGGCCAATCCCTCATAAAAGGCCAAAGTTATAGAATGCTGACTTGCTTCTGACCTTTTGCAAAACACAAAAGCTTTTAGAAGAGTTTCTTTCAGCTCTATAAAACTAGATCATCCTCCTTCCAAATTACTAATGGGTGGCATTTTATTGGTCTTAAAACTTCATTAAAAAAAAAAGATAGAAAAGAAAATTCATAGCTCTCTTAAGGGGATGGGAGTATGGAGAAGAGAATTCATATACCCAATTCCCTGGAAAGGGAAACATGTTTCTGTAGTATAAACAGTTTGTATAATTTAACAATCCCACTTAAAATGCCAAACACAGCACCCTTAACAGTTTGCACTGTGTAAAATCAGGAAAAAATACAAACAATTCAATAATTAGTTTCTCTGGTCATAGATGGCATTTTTTCTAGCAGTTTCTCAGTGTTTTTCTTTTCTTTTCTTTCTTTTTTTTTTGGGGGGGTGGGGTTGGAGAGGGAAGTTGGCAAGTGGACAATGCCTCCCTCCCTTGACCCATACAGGAACAGATTCAGTACCCTAGTGAGGAAACGGATTGCTACAGATTTATGAGCCAGACTGCCCAATTTCTGTTGTGTTGCTACTGTGTGGTCAAATCTCTAGCCAGCTGTTATCAAGCTCTGCCATGGCTGACAATAACTGGTACAAATGTGGGGTCTCCTGGGATAAAAGGGCACATTCATGAAATTTTTAATCTTATCTAACAAAGCTGTCCTGTAGAAGCAGAGATTAGAGGTCTTCCTAAATTGAGTGTATTTTCTTTCCTTTTATTTATTTACTTATATATTTATTTGCTTATTTTTGCCTCTCAAACTGCAGAAATGTATAGGATTTCATAGACAAATGAAAGCCAACTAAAAAAATGGAGCCAACACAATGCAATTGCATCAGCCCCTCCTCCCTCACCCCCACTAGTAACTTCTAAATACAAGGTAAGACAGACAAATACAATTGTCACCCAAAATGGAAATGGAAAACACACGAAAAAAAGCTTCAGATCTGCTTGACCATATCCGACAGCTCTCCTGATGGGAATGAAAACAACCAGCAGACACCACAGAGGAACAAAAGAAGAACTCCCAGCTGAAGCAAAGCCATCAGGGATCGTCTTCTTGATTTAATGTTTGACAGCTTGGCATCTCTGTTAGAGATGCCGCCAGAGCTGAACACTCCACACACACACACACACACACACACACACACACACACACACACACACACACACTAAATTGGTGTCTCTCTTTCTCCCCACCCACAATGCTGTGCACGTGTAGATGAGATCTCATAAACGCATATAAGAGATCAGTGAAGACACTTACATCCTCATTAAATTATGTGAGAGAAATACCCTTAAGATAAGCAATACCAAACTAGATGATAATCATTCCTGACATTTTTGGAGTGCTCTGAGGTGTCCAAACACATGGTGTCCAAATTGGAGGGCACTAACCACTTTGAATAGGGTCGTCTGGGTGTTCTATGCCAAAATTCTATGTGTGGGCTGTTGTCTATGCACTCTCACCACTGAACTGTAATTTGTCTAGTTGAATTGTGACTGGCTAGTTCTAGGGTGAAGATTAGCGTTCTGTAAACTCCCTTCTCCCTCCCTTTAAAACAAGTGTCCTTCAAATTATTACAGGACTTGTAAGTTTTTGTTTTTTCCCAGTATTTGCACAAAAGTAGGAAATACCCTTGGCTATTTTCCCTTCCTTCTTTCACCCTTAGTCAACAGTACTAGCCTACGTGTATACAACATTTTGAGTTTAGTGAAGCCTTTCTTTGACCCTCACACCAAACCTCTGAGGTCAGCAATAATATTGTAGCCATTGTATACACAAAACACTCAGAAAAGGTGAACAACTACCCCAGAGTCACAGAGCTGCTAAGTGTCAGAAGCAAGATTCTAACCCAGGTCTTTCAGCTCCTTTTTGGTTTCATTTACTGTATCCCCAGTCTTAGCACAGAGCCTGGCACATAGTAGGAGCTTAACAAATCTTGTTGATTGATTCATTCATTATACCAGGCCAGTATTCTATTGATTCTACTATGCTGCCTTTAACCAAAACCAAAGCTAGTCTTGTTCAATTTAGTCATGCCTGACTCTTCATGACCCTGTGGACAATACTGTCCATGGGGTTTTGGCAAAGATATTGAAGTGGTTGGCCATTTCTTTCTCCATTTCCTTCTCATTGGGTCTTAAGATCACATATTTAGAGATGGAGGAGACCTACCTTATAGGTCTTAGAGTCCAACCTCCTAATTTTACAGATAAAGAACCACAGATTTAAAGCTGGAAGGGACCATATCATCCAATCCCCGTCATAATGCCAATTGAAACCCATAAAGGTTAAGTGTCTTGCCCAAAGTCAGACAAGTAAGTAAATTTCACAGATCCAGAATTTGAACTCAGGTCATCTGAATTCAAATCCAACATTCTTTCTGTTGTACCACAGTGCCCAAAGACTTGCCTAAGGTCATTCAGGTAGGAAACAGCAAAAGTAGGATTCTAACCAAGACCCCTGAACAGCAAAGAAACCACTAAAAATCTAAGGAAACTGCAAACACGCCCAGTGGAAATAGCAAGAAGCCTCTCTATTGGATGGCACCGAGTAACCTTTGACAAACTGCACATAACTACCCCAATACAGGGAGGTCACAGGAAGGCCCTCTCTGGCAACAAGGGATCCTTTCTGTCCAAGTATTGAATGTATTACTTTACTGGGCACCTTAGAATACATTGTATGAAAAAAGGCTCTTCAAATTCTAAATCTCAGACTTGAAGAAATGAGGAGTCTAGAAAAAGAGCTTAAGGGAGAGAAAATCATAAAAATGAACTTTCTCTTGGAGATGGCCTGGGTGAGATAATGATAATCTAAAGAATGCAAAGGAAAATCTGCCTGTGGGTCCTGTGAGTGGCACTGATTAACTAAGGAGCTTTTTCTCTGACTGGGCTATCCTTCATCTGCTATATGTAGGAAACGAACCTGATTTTTATTTTAGAACTTAGAGGAGTGTATTATTGTGCTATTACTGCAAAAGGCAATATGTGATCACTGAGATGCCAGGAGTTAACAATATAATAATGTTAGAATAATGTCATATTTCTAGGTATACCCATACACTGGGGGAAAAACTAGTTAGTAAAAATGTAAAAGTAAAACCAGCTCTTGGTACCCTATATGAGCATTTGTGAAGGAGATGGAAGGGGAACACTTGCGGGACAAATAAGTTTCAGGTAAATAGGAGAGTGCTCTAAGGTTTAAAAAAAATGGAGGACCCAATGTTAATGTTAGTGCTGGGAGGGCAGGGAAGGCCAAGGAAATGGAAACCTTGCAATTTTTCTCCAGGGCTTGCTCTAAGGCAAAATTTGCGGGTAGATCAATTCTATTACTCTTCTGTCTCCCTGGTGGAAACTCCTTTCTCCAACAAGCACATGTCCTAAATAACTCCCTTCCAGTGCCCTGGTACTGATCAGAGTTTCCCTATCCTATCCTATTTAGGCCTTCCCTTCCTGGTAGAGCTCCCCCCACTCATCCCTACAGCAGCCCCTTGCCAGCTAAACTGTCTTAGAACCTATTCCTTCAGGATCTCATTCTTTGTTAATAAGATGACTGGAAATGAAAGAAAAATAGAGGGGAGGGAGCAGAGAGAGAGAAAGAGCAAAGATTTTGTTTTGTTTTACTATTGCATTATGGTCCCAAGGAAAAATTCTTGCATTTTAGTAGGAATTTAAAGGCTCATAGAATCACAGAATCTCAGAGTTGGAAGGAATCCCCAGAAGCTCCTGACTAGAACAATTCATGCCTGACTAGGAATCCATTCTATAGAACCCCCTGATAGATATATCTTTATCAATGGGGGGGGGGGGTGGAGCACAACCCCCACATGCTGCCACCATGACAAAGAGCCATGCAAAGAAGTACTGTTAGTTTTTCTTAAGTATCTCATCTCTTTTCACTTTGTTGTTCAGTCTTTTCAGTTGTTTCTGACTCTTTGTGACCTCATTTGGTGGTTTCTTGGCCATTTCCCTCTCCAGCTCCTTTTACAGCTGAGGAAACTGAGGCAAATAGAGTTAAGTGACTCACCCAGGGTGACATAGCTAGAAAGTGTCTGAGACCAGATTTGAATTCAGGTCATCCTGACTCCAGGCCTGGCATTCTATCTACTGAACCAACTAGTTTCTTCTTTTCAAAATAATGTTGCCTACATTCATAATTGAAAGAAATGCTGGACTTCAGTTAGATATCAGCGAAAAGAAAGTTATCTTTTTCTTTTTCTGTCCAAGTTCACGGACCTCCTGATATTTATCCACACATCTGCAAACCTAGATTAAGAACCTGTGGCCTAAACCAGAGGTGTCAATCACACAGGTGTGGTCTGAACCAGAATAAAATGCAACTGGGAAGTGTTTATCAAAATTAAAAAAAATACAATAAAAAAAATAATATTACATTTTAAAACTAAATCAATATATGGCCCACAAGGATCTTTATGTGCCATTTAGTCACCTCCATTTCTATTGGAGTTTGACTACACTAGTCTAAACCAGCTCTTAGGGATGGCCTAGGGGACAGGGAGTACCTCGGAGCACTCCTTACAATGCATAGCTAAATATATTTCAAATAGTTCTGTAGAACAAGCAGCAGAAAGGGTACATATGCAGCTACCCCTCATTGAAAAGGATGAATTCCAGCAGAATTTTGACGGCTA